CACTGAGAAATAAGTCTCATTTCAGGAAGAGTTCCTTATACACGATATACAGACGCCAGTAATTATTCCCTGCAAAGACCTATTAGCCGTGAGAAAGCAAAAACATGTCTGGGAAAGTTTAATTTAGGAGGGAAAAAAAGTCGTTTTAATACTACCCCCAGAACTGTGTTCGTGGGAGCGGAGCGGACGTTGGACCCCACAGTTCTGGGGTAGTAGTTTACTTTAAATAGTCCTTGTTCACAGGTTGTCAAGTGGCGCCCGTATTTCCCCATGCATAATATGACAGGAGCTTAGGAGTGGGACAAGGAGTTGTCCTTCCAACACCACTTAAAAACAGGAAGGCATGGCAGGGAATATTACTTTAGAGGGCCGAGCCGCGTCACTTTTTATCGGGCCCTACGCAGCCGGTCACATGCCCAAAAAACTCGCACACCTTCAAATTAAGGACAACTACGACACTGTAAGAAGATGTGAGAAACTTACATGACTCGTCGGCGATTCTTCCCCATGCTTTCCGCCGCTGAAGTTCGCGAAGACACCAATCCCTTGTGTTCTTATTCCTCCATGCTTGAATTGAACTAGGCACGATTTCCACCGTGGCGCTTGGTCGCGTGCGTGCATGTGAGCACCTGGGCCGGCTCCGCAGCCCACCTCTCGCTAGCCGAACGAGCAAAGTCGGGCGTACGTACGTACGTACACGCGCACAATCAGCCAGGCAATTCTGCGCCGCAGAAGAGAGCTCCGAGCGCCCTCCATTGGCCATGAAATAAATGGCGACATGTGTCGAGGCATGGTAAGCACGGTAAGTAGCTTTGCACATGGCCATCGTTGATGGCACGCTTTTCCGAAATGACACCGGTAGGGTTAGTTTTTAAACAGAAGCCCGTGTATGGCACACTAGAGAACAAATGTGGAATATCGCACAACTCATCAGATAGACCTCTGTGGGAGTCGCAGTCCCAGTTGATATGATTAGCCATACGGTCTGTGTAAGCATGGAGGAAGAGTTTGTGTCCTTCCTCCATGGTACGGTATAAGTGTAACACAGATCATCCTACCGCCGGTCTGGTAGTAAGCGAGTGAGTATAGTGATGCTTATCGATATTTGACCCAGGCCGTTTTCCAGTAAATCTTTTCTCTTTTGGAAAGAGTACCGACCGTGCATACCTGTATGGACGCCTCTAGTGACACCCTACGCATAAACCCTTACAGACTAGTCTGAAAAATTCTAAGTTTTTCCTTAGTAAATAACTCGGCATTTTCCTTCCTGAATGGAACTTTGCTGGACCTGTTTTGCTTTCTGTTGGCTAATAATAGGTCACTTTAGGGAATAACTTCTGGCATCCCGTATATGGAATAAGTTACTCTAATTTATGCAACCTCTTCTTACACATTGTTGCATTGTGATTTTGGATGAAGATATTCACAAACTTCAAATGTTAAAGCTTACCAGTACAAGAAATTTGGGGGAATCCCTTCTAGTTTGAAGTTCCAAGAATGTCACTTTTCTTGTCATGGGCCATGCTTGGACTAAGATCGGAATGTTAATGCACTAGTTTTGGCCAATCAGAATCATGATTTGTACATGTAGCTCAGTCATCCTGCATTGACCAATCACATTCATTGTCAGCCTGGTACCCTGGTGACTGGTACCCTTAAAAAAGACAATTAGGGGTGATTTTTTTCATCTTACATTTTATAAACATAAGAAAATTAATTGTCTGTCATCCAAGCCCCATAATGCAGTGCGAATGTTTAGGTTTATTCTGAACTTCCCTTTGTCTCAGGCTTTGTCTGTTTTATATTTTACTACCTTGCTTTGAAGTTGTTAGCTCAGTATCTAGTCCAGTAATGCCATTTAACATCAAATACGATGTAATGCAAGAGAGAAAATACTATTGTATTTCAATTTAATTTGAACACTAGCCCTACATGAGGGGATTGATTTTGGAGGCGAAGCCTAGCCTGAATCAGAGACAGTCTGGAAAATGACAGTAGTAACGTAAGGTATGTCGGATGTGATTTGCCCATCTGCACGATCACCTGATCGCTCTTTGCAATCGATCCATTCTGTATGAACTTCCAACTTTACCTGTTTACCTTCCTTTTTTTGAAAAAACTGTCACAACTGTTGATTAAAGATGAAAGTGATTAGCTGAATGCCAAATTACTGACAAATCAGGCACTGAAGTTGATTGATCGCACAAAGATCCAGCGATTACACATATTGACTGATCATGCCTAACAGGTATAGTCGAATACATGTAGCACCAAACCTGTTACACTCCATTTTCCCCTGTGATTATCCCACTCTCTGCATCTGTGGGGCATTCCATGCCACCGCATCCGCTCCAGAATTGGAATTCATTTTCCTTGTTTTCCTCAAGAAAAAATAGAACCTCTTGTAACCCTTCTTAAATACATGGACATCAGCAGCCCTGACTGTCCTGAATCCTCCAATTTTAATCAGTTTTGCACACCCCCTACGGAGTTAGTGCTAACTTTTCCCTAAAGTGTAATATCAACCATCAGGAAGTGATAACATATCCAAAACAGTCATGTAGCTGAAAAAAAATTGAAGTGTTTTCTTATAAAATTGTATAATTTTTTCAGACTATTCTCATGGCGATGGTGCACAGGATGTCAAGTGATATCCATATATGGAACTCTTTCCTGATTTTTTTTCATATTTGTTATTCACTGTATTAGATTACTGTCCGACTCTAACTGTGAAATTGTACATTCTAAAGTTACAAAAGATGGTGAATCACAGCCTGAAAACTTTGCCTGTTGGAAAATATTCATTTTCAAGTTTGGCATGAGGATTGTACTACTCCACGAGATGATTTCTGGTTTCAAGGCACAAAATAACCTTTTCACACACCATCGTCTGGATTGATGGTAAATTGTGAAAAAAAATCTCTTCCTTCATTTAGGAGCCAGTTTTTTTTTCCCCATTAAAATTTCATTTCATTCAACAATCATATTTATTGGCGAGTGCTTCAAGGTACTGTTGTAAGGTTCCTATAGATGTGAACTGTTCTTTGGACAAATTAAATAACAATTTGTTTGTTTTGATTTAATAGATGGGTTTTGTTCCTCCTTGAGAGTAGTCTTGCCCCAAGACTGGTTTTACTGTTTTGGCCGGTGCACCGTCTAGACAACATGCGCTAGCAAGAAGCACAGCCGAATAGCTGTAGCAGTAGAGGGCGCTATATTCCCAAGAGATGAACTGCTAGAAAACCAGTCTTGTAAAATCTGGCAGGCCTACCCAAACAATTCTGAGCATATCTCACGCGCTCAAGTTACCGTGAATGATTGCGCATGCACACTGCCGTAAACCGCGCACCATGCAGTTGCAGTTTTTAGCGGTGTACATCCACAATCATTCTTGAGCGCGTGAGGTATGCTTGGAATTTTTTGGAAGGCCTGCCAGATTTTACAGGACTGGTTTTCTAGCAGTTTGTCTCTTGTGAATATAGTGCCCTCTACTGCTACAGCTATTCGACTGTGCTTGCTGGTGCATACTGACAGGCTGCACCGGCCAAACCAGTAAAACCAGTCTTGAGGCAAAACTACTTCGAGAGAAACTGTACCAGGATTGTTTTCCAATACTCAACTTTGTGTAGGAAACCAATCCCTGATTGTGTGCCTGAAGCATTTATAATTAAATTGAAGTACTGGAATGTTTGGCTCATTTGCATCTTACTTGATGCTTTGTGCCACTACCAGACTCAATATTGCGCTTACAGCTTCTAAGTCAAGTAGTAACAAAACGGCTGAAGCCTTAGACAGAGCCGAAGTCGAGTATTGAAAAATGGCCTAGATTTCCAATTTACATGCAGGTACATGTACCATACCCCCCCTTAACCACAGTGGCTCACATAACATAATTATACATGTCCTCCATTCGCACCCATTAATATTGTTTAAATGCTTTTACTTTTATAATATTGCAGGACCAGTGGATAGATTGGGAGCACAGCCACTTCCATTGTGGTACCCCTCCCCCATTAGATATCTCAGCACAGACCTCAACTATTGAAGCATGATTGATGTACGGCCAGTATTGTCATGCCTCAAGATACGTAGGCCACAAAAGACCAATGTTTAGCAACCCCATCTATAACTGCAGAGAGCAATGCACAACCAGGGGAAAGACAGTGATTTGTCACTGAAGGAGAGGCTGTACCTACCAGTTAAAGGGAGGTGTCTAGCCAGACAGACGCAGACAGTTCTATTCCTGTGCCAGTACTGTGGCCATGACTCATTTGATGTCATTCTCGTCCAGACAGCAGCTGATCATGACGGAAAGTTGAACCTCGGAGGAAAGTGCAGAGAGGTCTCTAGTCCTCAGGAGACAGCATGCCAGGGTTTAGATCCATCCCAAAGACTGGATGCCCAAGTGGGTCTTGGTGGTGATGTTGGACCCCTCGATGATGAGACTGTTGAAGTACCTTCTGTGGGACAAGCCAAGGGTGTTGATGAGCTTTCTCCAGGATATGTTTGTCTTAGATTGAAACACTCAGTGGCAAAATTAAGTTTAGAGGAACCTGAAGAAAACACCAGTTCAGCAGGGATTTCTGAAATTGGTTTGAACATGCAATTACCTCCAGACCTTGAGGCCAGTTTGAAACATTCCAAGGATATTGATTGGCTGGCTCAACAGTGCCAGCTGCCTGCTATCATTGGATCGGGAGGCCTCACCTGCTTCTCTGGACTGTGTACTGTCTTGAGGAGGATTGTCAAGAAGGCACATCAGAGACACCCGGAAAAGAAACTTGAAGCTCTTTTGGTAAGGCTTGCAGAAAGATTTTGCTACTGTACCTTACACATACATTGCAGTTAATGTGTGAGAGTTGATGTAAACCTTTCAACCTTCCACGTACACATATCTATCTACCCCAAGAGCGTTATTTTTTGCAATATTTTGTTATAAAATAAGCAAGTTTTTCCCATTTGTTTTCCTACAATTAACAAAATTCCCTCCTTTTTTTAAAGCACTGTCCTGAAATGTCATTCTTTTAAAATTTATACCCTCAAAATTGTTTCTCAAATGTTTTAGCCCCCTGCCTTCCCCCCCCCAAAAAAAATTGCCAAGAAAAGACATCAGATTATTTCTGCCTTTCCTTTAATCAAAGAAGCCAAGCTGTTCACTAAAGTTCTTTTTTTGTTTTATGCTTTGAAGCACATGTGCAGATTATACCATGCCTCTATTGTACATAATTACATTTTTTTTCTAGTTAAATATTTTTTGAAGAAAGTCTTAAAAAGGCAAACGGTGAAATAAAACAGGGTCAACCAAATTTAACCTTCACTTCACTTCAAACCAGAAAGCCTACCACAAGGGGCTGATAGGCAAAGGAGATATTCTTAACCCTAACACTCTTCAATCCTTCACCTTTTGGAGGACTGGGGAGTGTTAGGGTTAATGTGCTCGTAATGCATTTAGCTTTAATATTTGTCGTTTGCTGTCCTTGAAGCTTGTAATAAGCTAAGCCTGACGCTGATAAAAAAAGCTGCTTTATTTCACAGGGCTTCAATCAAGCCTGTCTCAAGAAATGCTCAGAGGTCAGCCCCTGGACCAAAATATGTGAGGTTGACATCTACCAGGACCTAGAAGTGAACAGTGCTCTCCCACAAGCAATCCTAGAGCTGGAGAAACAACTGGCAAGCCCCACAGTCATCTCCAGTAAACTTCTGGGCAAAGCAAAGAAGAAAAAGCAAGCTACGGTTGGTCGGCAGAGCGAGAGAGCCGAGCAAGGGGAGATTCAGGAGTTGGAGTCGTTTTTCCACTCCAACTCCTTGCATCTGGTGGACAAGCATCAGATAAAAATTGCCAAGAGCTTGTACAAGGAGCAACTGAAATCAGAGATCTCGAAGAACTGTACAAATTCAAGCTGTCGTCTCGTTTCAGGAGATGAGCAACCTGGTAGTATTTCCCTGGAAAGGAATGGCTCAAGCAACGAACGACCCCGCTCGCAAATGAAGAGAACTGGGCTTAATACTTCTTCAGCTTGTAGCCGATTCATAACATCACCTTGTAAGAAGAAATCCGGTGTCACGGCTGGATCTCCAGCACCTCCCAAGCACCTCTTTGCGCAAGGCCCCTACATCACCCTTTGCGATTTTGCACTCTTCCACAACCTGCACACCTTTCTTCAGAGCTGCATGGAAGAAGGTAAGGGTCATGACCCCTGTAGGGGTATTCCACTTGTCTGTAGGTGGTACAAGAGGATGTGGAATGTGCCAAGCGTGAGGGAATGTGCTTTACACTGTGGTTTGAAAGACTTCTTTTTTCCTGAGGAAATCATACTGAGTGACTACATAGCAGAGGTCAAACCAGAGGTCACAAATGAAGACAGCACTGGGATAATCGCAGACAAGATAGAAGCTGTTCAAATCAGGTTGGTTCAAGAGCTTATACACTGTACAAGTTCTGAAATTTTCCTAGATTCACTTTTTGTGCAACTTTGCAATCCTCATTGAAAACTACATGGCATTCCTTGGGGTCAAGTGTATTGAAAAGTGCACTTTTCAAACATTGCCATGCTTTTCCCGATGATTAAGGATGTCGCTGTGATGTCATTTAGGGAAGACATTGTTCAATTTATAGTTTTTCTGTTCAAATCTCAAATCCAAACTTTGCTCACTAAAGCACTTCATAGAGTGGTTGCCTGGCCGGCTTTTTTTCCATGTACTTACACAGCAATGAATCAAGGGCAGCAGTGTATCCAAAACTCCAGCAGACCTTTGTGCAGCATTGAGGTTTTCTCCCAGGAATGACATCACAGGTGTACTCATGAATATTGATATTCATGTTGGCACACATGTAAAAACCAAAAATGGCACCAAACCAAATTTTAAATATCAAAACAAAAACAAAATAAAAATATTGTAAGTTGAAGAAGAAATAGAAGCGTATTTCCAAGGGTTGTAGTAAAAAATTGCTTTGCATAGACCTTTTAATCTTTGGTGTAATTTCGGGCCAGTCAGCGAGATACATGTATGGCAATGCCCTCCACATCAAGGGCTTTATCAGCAAAAACTCTAGATGAATCAAATCAGCTGGTGCTACATGTACATGTGTGCTTCAAATAGAGCTTGACATTCCTTGGAGCATGTTTCTATTCTCTACTGTGGCAGTGTTTCCACAGCCGAGCATAGCACAGTCATGCTAAGCGAATGTTGATGCAGAGGGTGTGCATGTGACACAGCAAGGGTTAAGTTGATCCATGTCGTATGTAAACATTGTAGCTACTTAACCTTGCTTTTCTGCATCTATAATCATTGTCACTTTTAAACTCAATGTCTGCTAGATATCATGAGCGTTGCAATAGTTAATAGCATCCCCACACTCCATGGAATGCCAAACTAATGCTCTGATTCATGCAAATGATCTGATACCTTCCAAGTCACCCCATTGGGAGCCTTTGCCAACAAGGCATTGCCTCCACCAATGCAGCTGATATTCCAGTTTGCTGGCAAATATTGAGGGTTCCGTATTGTGGACAGTGTGTTGAAGACATTGGTCTTTTTTAAGCATATATCATTGTTAATTACATGCATCTTTCTTTCTTTGCAATACAGTCGACTACCCAGTATGAGGAATCGTGTTCCAGAAATCATCAGAGAGTTACAAGTCATTGGCATCAAGATCACCGTAGATGACTTCCCTGTTGAGAATATCCAGCTTCCATGGGACACCTTTCCAGAATATGTCAACCCTTCGAAAGGCAATTATCTTTTTTTACCCTCTTTAAAACTTGAAACAGTACAGGATTTGACCGAGGTGTCGGTTGAATATTTAGACATGTAAATCTTAATGTATGTGTAATTTCACAACCAGAAATAAACAATTGTGTTTATTACAAATTGCAGCATTTGAAGGGTGGTCTTGTAAGAGAAACCAATTTTGTTCAAGCCAGCTGAGATGCTGGTGAATGGTTAGTTCAGTGAGATTCAAAGCACTGGTAACTTTTTCTTAGTTTCTACTTTTTTCCTTAGATGTGTCTGAAGAGAGAGCAATGCGCAAGAGGCAGCAGATAGAGAACTTGGTGGCAGCCGTCAAGATGATCACCAAATCGGGAGACATCATAGTTGACTTCTGCAGTGGTGGAGTAAGTTGATCTGTTTGTATGTTTGTTGGGGGCAGTCAGGCTTTCTGTCTGTTTGGTTGTCAGCCTGCTTGTCTTTTTAACGACTCCACTGCACGGAGCATCAGAAGTTTCTCTTTGACAAAAGTCAAGATAAGGAATGTGGACTCTTTGTTTTGGGGTCAGCTGATGTCCACATTTCCCTACACATGGACATGATGAGTATGTCGTATTAAAAACAAATCCAAGCACAAGGCAAACGCTGCTTGTTCCTGATGGGAATGCATATTGAATCAATCTTAAATGAACAGTAGTGCTGTGAGATTTTGCTACTCAACATCTACAGTGCAACAAAACGGCTAAGTTACAATTGTCGAGGATGGTGTATCGGTCAATGCACGCCAATTTCCTCCAACGTCGTGAAGTGCAGCCAAGTTAAGTTTTCAAACGAAATTAAAAGACGAGCCCAAGAACTATTGTGTGGGTGATACCCATCATAGAATATTGGGTGTTTTGTGGTACTTTTACGGAATAGTATCCTCCAAGCTGAAATTGTGATGCTTGGCCAAATTTATTCCAGATAATGTCAAATAATGCAGCCACAAACTTCAGTGTTAACCATAGAAAATAACTGAATGTTATCTTGGGTGCAAAACCTGCAGGGTCATGTTGGAATAGCTCTTGCACATTGCCTACCAGACTGTCGCGTCATCATGGTGGAGAGCAATGAGGAGTCAGTGAAACGTGTCGAGGCCAGGATACAGGGCACCAGACCAAGCAACATCTCCTTATGCCAGTGCAATTTGAACTACTTCACCGGCAGGTTTGACATTGGGGTAGGCATTTGCCCATTTAATTCACAGCACAAAAAAGGTCTTACAATCTGGTGTTAAAATTTGTTTTTTCCTGCTTATCCAGTGGCTACAGAAGCCAAATGTAAAGTTGATATCAATACGTGTAACTTTACATTAGTTTGAATGTACAGATTGATGGAAGGAGACATTTTCAAAAATTTTAAATTCCATATATGACCAGATCCTATGAAGTCAGTCTTTCTTTTTTCTTGATACGGCTGTTATGTGTATGAGACAGAGTATTCAATAAGTCCTTTATTTTTATGTACTTGGGACCACCTGGTTTTGCATCTTGAGACGGCATCATGTTTGTGTAAAACTTGACAGTTTCTGTTGATTTCTACAATGCAATATTTGTTTATAATTGACCTTTAGCCCAAGTACATTTAGTTCTTGTGTGGTCAGGGTTTGGCTTAAACATTTGTTAATTTCAGCTGTTTCAATCAGCGTTTTAGTCAAGTCTGTTACATGTTCAGTGACAGTCTGTCACAAGTTCAGTGACAAGTCCTTTTGCCAGACAGTCATAAGGAATAGGGTGAACAATGACAAAGGAATGCTTTTGTCAAAGTTAATTTGAATATCTCCTGACTTAGCTTAACCATAAAAGAGCCAGGTATTTTGGACTACCTCACAGCTGGGGGGGGGTATTCCACCCCCCGCCCTCGAACTCAGCCTCCCTATACCTGATTTTTACAAAACAATGTTCACAAAGTTTGGTGTCAAATCAACCACAAAGAGTTACCAAACAAAATCCTGAGGGCTTGGCTTGTGAAAAAAAAAATGAAAAAAAAAATATTGAAAAACATGTTGAGAGGGGACCACCCCCGGCTCTTTTAGGGTTGAGACTGAATAACATGTGATGGCCTTGACTGCAACTCTGCTTTCATTGGCAATTCTTCCAGGTTTCCCTCCATGCTTGTGGGGTTGCAACAGACATGGTCCTGGAAAAGTGTCTCAGGAACAGAGCAGCATTTGTCTGTTCTCCTTGTTGCTATGGATCTGCAAGGGACTCGCACCTCATCAAGTACCCACGCAGCCAGCGCTTTCAGGGGTCAGCTTTGACCTACAGGGTAAGTTGCTTCAGAGAATTTGATTGTTAAATGAGGTTTTTTGGAGAAGACCTTGAATTGACTGAGGAAGGAACTATGTAGGCCAGAGTTGTTAAGTTCATCACAAGTCAATCTTAAGACTGTCATCATCCATCTTAAGTCTTTTTACAAGTTGATTGCAGTCTAACACAAGTCCATCACAATCCATCACAATCTGTCAGAAGTCCATCAGAGTCCCATCACAAGTCCATCAAAGTCCATCACAACTCCATCGCAGAACATTACCAGTCCATCATAGTCCAACAAAGTCTGTCAGTTTCAATCACACACCCACCACAAGCCATGGAACAATCTCTATCCATCAAAATTCTGTTACAAGTCCATCACAGATACACGTAGTCTATCACAAGTCCATCACAAGCTCATCACTTGATGGCGCAATTCAACTTGTGAATCCCTTCACACGTTTGTTATTGTTGACCCAGGATCATCTATTGGTCAGCCATGTTGCAGAGCAGACTTCAAGAAGTTTTGAAAGTGAAATGGCGAAGCAGGGTAAGTTCTTTCTGCTTTCTTTCCACCGGTTTCCTCTTAAGTTTTTTAATGTGAACCTTTGGAATAGGGTATCAGCTTTCCACCCACTGAACAAGCCAGTGTCCTGTATTGACAGTCCACCAGTTCCGTTCCTTCGTCAGTACCTTTTTTATGACATATAGACAGTGAAAAGTAATGAAATAAGAGCAGCACATGCCTTGTGGCCAAGGATCATCTGTGAAGTCACTAGCTCAGATCACACAGTTCCATGCTTTTAGGATTCTAATTAAGTGAACTACAAGGTGAAAATGGCTAAGACAGATGGGTGTGGTAAAGACACACCTGGATCTCTGCAAGTTGTTTAGTATTCGGACTCTTGATTATGTATGGCTGGTCAACATGAAATCAGCTGAAAGTTGGACTTTCAATGGATGGGGTATTTTATACCTCCATTATACAGAACAAGCTTTCAAAGTGTGCTTGTTGATTTTGCTTTATTATTATCCCTAATGGGGGTAATCGCTGATTATTTCATTTTCATATAATTGTAGTTTGTTCTTGGTTTTGTTCAAATCGTTATCATTGTCAGAGTTTTAATGTATCTTACACCAAGATGAAATAAAAAGTATCAAAAATTGGGATTTTGGGGAGTACAAAAATTGGCATATAATGTTCCCACCTTTGATTGTTGTTGTATTCAAGACCTCGTCAGACCATCACAAGACCCCACAAGACCATCTTAAGACCATTACAAGAGTCTAAATACAAGTCACAAACTATGAGGTAAACTGTAACAAAAGCATTGTTATTGTTCGTCCTGTTGTCTTGGGATGGTCTGAACTGCAACACCACTCTCTGTTCTTGTTGGTTTAGCTAAAGTCTGCATGTCAATTCTGGACACGGACCGTGCTGAGGCAGCTCGGGAGCAAGACTACCATGTGGGGTTGTATTCCATGTGTCCCGCGACCTGTTCCCCCAAGAACAACCTCCTAGTGGGTATGCCATGCATCAGTCGAAACAGTCTTGTGTAGGTGATAGGCCTACTTCAGGAAGGCAAAGATTTCAGACATGGATTTCATACATGAGTGGGTATCCAGCTTGCTTAAGTAATATTTGAATTTGACAACATTTCAAATGTTTGACCTACAACTGGAAAAGGTTGTTTGTTTATTTCAAATTTTACAGTTTTGTCAGCAGATTGTGAAATGCTGTTTTTTTAAAGTACTAGTGGCAAATGTACGCTATAAAAACCAGTTTGTACAGTTTGGTTGTGAATTATGTGCACGTACGTATTGAAGTTACTTTGAGTTTACTTGAACTGTTTTGAAAATTTGACAGAAATATTGTCTGCCTTTGAGGACTCCAAGTTCCTCTGTTGCTTGGCCCTGCTTTGTATTGATTCCATTAGCTCAGTACTGTAAGGTCCTTACAGCAGTCCCTTGATTTTCAACAAATATTCTTAGAACTTTATTCTGGTTTGAAAAAAAGTTATTTAATTGAAATAATATGTTGTAGACTATTTCATTAGTAGAACTTGTTTAGAGTCCAATACATTTGAATTTCACCAAATGTTCTTCCGGGGTTTCATGTTTTTAGGAACATTTTTCAGTAACAACCTTCTAGTGCAATTTTTAATGAGAACCTTTTAGCACAGTGATTTGCATTCTTTTTTGTCCTTGTAATTCTCCTTAAAAGTTTATGCAGATTAGATCTTGTTCAGTTTTTCTTCTAAATTTGAATATTTCAGTTTTCCTGTAGCCATGCACGTGTGCTTACATTTTGTGCAAATGATTGATACCAACATTAAATAAATAAACAAATATGCACTTTCAGTGCTGTTTTTGTTGATTATGATCCATGCTATTGAGCATAATATTTGTATATTTTCAATGCAAATTATTTCATTCTTCCCTTTTTACCAACAAAACAGAATTATAGCAACTCATTAATCAGCCATACAATATTAGTGTTAAAGTATCTTCATTTAATCTAAACAAATTAATGTTATCCAAAAGTGGAATTTCCTAGTCCATTCCTCATAATGTTTTCCCTTGATTATGCAAAGTTTGACAGGTCGTACATGTCACAAAAAGGTTAGATTATTTCAATTCAAGTTTACAGTCCAAAGTTTGTTCTTATATTGAGAGGGGCTCTTGAAACAACAATTTCATCTCTCTCACAAAAAATAGGATTAAGATTACAAACGACATGGGCTACGAGGTTTAAAAAAGAAAAGACACTTCATGGCCATGACATGATGTTGTTTTACTACAAACCTTGAAATTGCACCTTTTTGCCACTTTAATCTGTATTTTGGAGCCTTTTATGCTCATGCAAATTTGCAAAATCCTGAGCAAACCCATGATATCAACCCAGGCACTGAACTTCCAAAATGCATTATCTGTGCACAAAAACCTATGGAATTGTTTTACATTTTTGTTGTAAATTTGCATTTCTTTGGTAATTTTTGTTGTATAAATATATGGCAATAAGGCAAGCTTTTCTCAGAAATGCTCGAAAGCAAGTATGGGGTAAAACATGAATACCGAATAGTGTCTTCCCTGATTTACATCACAGGAACAGTGCCCTTGCTTGTCCAAAAAAGCTCCGAATATTTAAAATGTTTCAAAAAGCTCTTTTAAATACACGTAACTCTAAAAAGAGTTCAGCTGTTTCATACATTGAAGATGAGTACAAAGGTACACAGAGAGTGAGTCTAAGAAGAATAGATCGCATGGATTCTTTAGAAATACATTTTTCGAAAGTTAACCACTGCACAACTGAAGCTAGCTTATTTTGCCTCAAGGGACAAGGCGGAAAGGTGTACTTTTGTTTATGACGAGTCTCTCGGAAATAGATATTTGTCGTTTTACTGTAAAATAATCACATTATCATTCAACCTATAAAATCTTTTTACTTCTGTACAAGAAAAGTTAGCGTTCAAACATTCATTTGTTAAAATGGTTCACACCATATACTGCACAGTTAATATAAGTAGTAATTGACACAATAAAGTATGATAAAAAATGGTCAAGAACATTCTTAAGCCTTGCATCAAGTATCACTCTACAAAAAAATAGTTTTGATAAAAGTTCAACTGAGCCTCATAATCGTAAAATACTGAAAGAATACAACTGACTTCATGCAGGTTAAACTTGAAACAAATTACAGGGATTAGTTAATTACTGCAATTTAATGGCACTCTAAAATTATGTGTTTTACTATTGCACGTACTCGGCCTTTTGCTCTTGCTCTGGTAAAATGTCAGAGAGCTGGCTTTAATAATTAGACATGTTTACAACATTTATAAAGAAGAAAAATATGTACATTATACAGCATGTTTCGATGCTTCATCTGAGTCTGTATGCGATTGCAGATGGAAACGTCTTTTGTGATAACCGGTTCAGTATATGGGTCCTTAAGATCTCAGCAGATTATCACAAACTCCAGTCATGAAGTGACTTCAGATTTTGATTCTCACAAATTTTGCTCTTTTACATCTTTGTGCGAGGTTTTCATTTTTTGAACTGGTCCGGCATGGGTGTATTTATTTTCGTCGGCAACATCGGGATTTAATCTTGGCATAATCTTGTACCGTTCATTATGCCTGCTTGCTGCCAAACGTCACTTTCCTGGATGCGCTAAACGCATTGAATTAAAAAAATGTAAATTTATATTGATCAGTTCACACACCTTCGGGCTACCAACTGGGGCATATATATGCTACTCAAAACAAATTTAAGGACCACTTTTTATTTTGGATATACTTTTTAATGAAATATTTTACTGCTGAATGTCTCTTGCATCATTGCACATTTTTTTAATTTTGGTTCCAATGGGAACTAGACACCACTCATTGCTTGGAAAAAAAATTACAAGTTAAAAAAACGGTGGTCCTTAACTTTTTTGAAAGCAGTGTATTAAACAGAAACTTGCAACAAGTTGATTCTTGCATCGACGTTGCATCTTACGTTTATTGACTGAAACTGGACCTCGGTTTGGGTACTGGCTTACCGATGTGGTATGAAGAGGCACTCGGTAGGGTGTTGCTTGTAGATGGCCCTGCCTCTGAAGCCTCAAGCACACTCACTGCAACCTTCATTGGCTTCTCTTTTTCTGCTGGCTCCTGGTGCTGCGGTTGGCTCAGAGCGCTGCCGATTTCCTTCAGAAGGCTCTTGCCGGCAGTCTGGAGGTACATGTGCTTCCCAGGTAGAATCACTTTCTTGAAGTTGCTCTCGTTTGTGACCTGCTTGCTCCAGTCGTCCAGGAGATGTGGACCGACAAAGGGGTCGTTCTTTCCGCCAAAGGCTATCATGCTACAGGGCAGTCGATCCCGGTGCCGGCACCTATACTTCTTGCACGTCATGATGGCCGCTTCGATGCTACCTACTAGACGCTGCATCAGGCGTGGGTTATTGAGTGTTGACTGGTCCAAGAAACTGAATCTGACCGGGAATGGCTCAGATATTTTCATTGGGTCACCTCTAGCAGAGATAATTCGCTGCATCTTCCGGAAGGTGGAGCTGGAAATGTTGAGCTCCTCTGGGTGTGGGTATGATAGGGTTGGGGCATACCAAGCACTGACGAAGAGGTGGGTGGGAAGGAGACTGTGGTTCTTCCACATGTGGTGTGCCAGTTCAAAGGCCGTAAGCCCGCCTAAACTATGTCCAAAGAAGGAGAATTGGCCCTGCTGTAAATGTGGAAGCAAAGCGTCAGCAAGCCGGCTCACGACATCGGCCATGTTTTCTGATGGCTTTTCGTTCTCACGGCCTTCCCATCCTGGGATCCTCAGGGAAACCAGCTGCACATTGTTCTGCTGGAAATGTTGTTGCCATGCTGCAAACATGGACGGCCCACCACCAACTGAAGGAAAGCAGACGAGTTGGTGTGTAGGAGACTGAACCTTGTCGTCAATTCTGAACCACAATTGCTGGGAGACACTCTCAGCTGCCTCATTGCTCGCTGCAGCCTCTTGCTGTGCCTCGGAAGCACAACTCATCACTTTGGTGTATACATTCTGAGTCAGGTTTCTGACTGTCAGAGTATCATTCAGCAGCTCCATAGCTGTCATTGTGACCCCAAAGCTTTCCTGGATAACACCACTAAGTTCTGTTGACATGTGGGAATCCAGACCAATGGACAGAAGTGTTGCATCTTGACTGACATCGGCACTGAGACCAAGACGCTGCACTAAATGATTTGACAGCGTCTTGAAAATCAAGTCTAGAGCTTCTGCTCGAGACAACAATCGTATCCTCATCTGGATATCGTTGTCTGTGGCCAAGAAGCACTCTCGGTTAGGAAAGAGGGATTTTAGGGCTGAGAAAGTACCACCCGGTTCGCCGAAATGGTGTGACAACATGGGACTGTTGGCCTTTGCATAGTCCTTTTTGTTCACAGCACCTGTGAGACCGAGCTGTGGGTAGTCCGTAGCAAGGATACAACCGAGGCCCTTCAGTATCTCTGGCGGGGGCAAGCTCTGCATGCCCATTTTCTCCCAGTGATGGACAAATCCGGCTCTGGCTGCATGACCTGCAGTGTTGATGATCCCTGGACAGATTACAGTGGCTGGCAGACCAAGCTTTCGTCGCATACTGCAAAGACTTGCCAGGAAATTGTTAGCAGCACAGTAGGCCCCTTGTCCCTCGTTACCCATCAACTCAACTATGGATGACATCATAACAAAATAGCGCACAGAGAAACCCATCTTCAGTGTGAGCTGATGCAGCACTAAAGCTCCATATGCTTTTGGAATCAATACCCGATTCCATGTTTCTGTCGTGACCTGACGCAGATGACAGTCATTGTAGACTACGGCACAGTGAAAAATACCTTCAAGTGGAAGCTCTTCGTTATCCCTAATAGCAGACAGAGCCTTCTCGACCTCGTAATCCTTCGACATATCAACCTTCAGATGTGTTATACGAGCCCCTGTATCCCGGAAAGATTTGAATTTTAGCACAGCTTCCTCCTCGGGGGTCGATCTCGAGATGATGTAAATGTGGCGTGCACCAGACTTCACCAACCATTCGACTGTTGTCAGGCCGAAACCTCTTGACCCTCCTGTCACTAAGTAAGCAGCATCGCCATTGGCGGTAAAACTGATGTCGTCAAAGTCTAAGGTTGTCGGGATGCTTTCCTCGTCAATGCAAACAGTCATGTCTTCTACGGTGGCATGTGGCGATCTGGAGAGCTTGGATATTGGAGCAGTAGGTACAGTAAGGGACTTCAGCGCTTGAAACCCATTATGCACGCTGAACATCTGTAAGAGGCGAATCATAGAGTCTTGCAGTCTTGGCTTCATTTCGTCAAACCGGCCTAGCCCCATGTCAATTGACAGAAAGTAAATGTTAGGTGGCATGACGTTTAAGCGAGATTCGCTGTTGCCGTTTCGACCGTGGATGTGAACAATTGTCCCAAATGGACGCAACTTTCCAACAAGCTTCTTCAAGTTGTTGTTGTCTTGTGTCATTTCACCAGCAAACAGAAGCACGTCCACGGATCCATCATTGATAAGTGTGTGAAAGTTATCTCCAGATGTTATGACAACTCTAGAATCGCCTAAGATCCCAAGAAGCTTCTCCACCGGCAGGATGTTGTCATCATCTGTCTCCACGTGAAGGAATACATTAGCCCCTTGCTCCAACGCCAGATGGGTGGTGGCCAAACCAACTCTGTCTCGAAGGGAGGAGAGGCAAATAATTACTGACCCGTTCTCATTGAGCTTCAGCGTGTCGTGAAAGGCTACAAATGCTGGAAGGTAATCCCTGACTATATTGATGGCTTCCACGGGTGTCAGATTAGCCGGAATAGGCACGAGCTCGCTCGCGTTTGCCCATATTGTAGCTTTTATCTTCCCACCTGATCTCAGACCAAGGACGTTGTTTCTCATTCTGAAGAGTACCTGAAGCTCCTCACTGCAGTTGTTGATTTTCCCTGCAAAGAGGTAACTGAGACCCGACGTTTTGTCTTTTTCTGGAGCGTCCTTCATTAGTTGAACCGAAAAAGCTGAAAGCTTCACCGCAATTTCTTCGGAACATTTCGTCTTTGGCGCTTCTTGATTCTGCTTTACCACGAGCCTCTTCTGCTTCAATGTGTCATCTACGTCAACCTGCCAGTTTGTGGACAGCGTAGGAGCTGAGAAGCTCGATTGAGGCTGCATAAGTATGCGAAGAGCAAAAGCTTCGAAGGCCAACTCCTTGGAATGGTCAACATTCTGCATGGGCATTTTGCGTCGGAGGGAAACGAAATTTTCGTCTGTGGGCGCCGAACGCATGTACTGGTACAACCACTCGGCAGATTCTTCTGGATCAAGCAAAGATGGTAGGTCTACGGTGACAAGAGGGAACTCTGGATCTTCGTGCATGAGAGTGAGGTTTACTGCACCAGCAGACGCCATCATGGGGTCCGCTACATCGGTATCCTTCACGGCATGCGCTGCCCGTGTAACCATCCACATCCTAGGCCTTATCTTAGCATCGTGCTTGACCACGGCTCTATACAAACTTATCGGTGATGTAGCTGTCATGGTCTGGGCCTCTTCGAAGGTGTCTTTATCGATGGCGGTCAACGGCCCAAGCTGCTTGATGTCAAGGGTTGACAACATGATCAGATCTGTTACCTGACCCAAAGAGCGTAAGACTCGTCTGAACCGCTCATCCCCATCAACAAGAATCCTAGGGTCTAGAACACTGACGACGCTGTCAACTTCCATGCGTTTCTTCAGTTCCCCTGACACACCTTGTTTATCTTTGATGATGATGATAGCACCGGGATTTTCTGAGCCGATTGCACTGAGAGGCCGAGAGGGTGCTCTTTTTGCAGGTAACTGGTGTATTGCCGTTTCAGAAAACTCGACATGGATCGGCGCCCATTCTCTCCTCCAAAGTTGCACTTTCTCATCTGGCTCGTTAGAATGAACATTTTCGAAGGCAAGGCGGTCTACTTGAGCAAAAACCCACTGGTTTGTTGCATCCGCTGCAACAACATCCCCCACCGTCTCCCCTTTATCTATGTGCGTCATGCGAACATGGAAAGCCACCTGTGATGGTGCTGTTCCTTTCACACGCACCTTTGTGACAGACCTTGGCACCTGGAACCACGTTTTGAACACACTGTGCGAAGACCTTGCCTTTTCCTGTTCCAGAAACATTTGACATATTCCAATTCCTTGGAACATGCTGTCAAGCAAAGCTGGATGGAAAACATACTTGCGGAATTCCTTCTCTAATGCTTCCGGGATGGATGCATACAGCAAAGCTTCACTGTAATCAGCACTGAAGTAAGCTGTGTTGACACACCGGAACGTGTCTCCCAAATGGAAACCTCCCTTCCAGAGCCTTGCGTAGAATTCCTGTTCATCAACTTCATATGGGCACCTCCGTCTGATCTCATCTACCGCGAGCTTCAAGCATTGGAACTGGTCTTCAAGTTGGTGGTATGACAACCGTGACTTACCAGGAATGTCTATGCTGGACTTGCCGTGCAAAGTCCACTTCTCGTCGGCCTGATTGAAGCTTCTTAGAGCAAACTGAGCCTCCCGCGGCCGCACTGTCACCGAGCTCTCCAGCATGCCTTTCATGTTAGATGGGAAAATGAACCTCTCAAACATGGCGTCTCTCAGGGTGATTGTCTCGCTGTCAGGGTACATGGATCGTGCAGCCGCAAGCATGATTTCAGTCTGCCCTGCTGCAGGAATGACAATGTTACCCTGCAATTTGTGATCCCGCAACCACGGCACAGTAGACACGCTGTATTTAGAGCACCACACCCGTGGCGCATTTTCATTGCTGAAGTGAGACAGGGTTTGTAGCTTGCCTAACAACGGATGATTCTTGGCGGGAAAACGGAACATCTTTTGACTCTTCTCAGTTGTTGCCGAGCATAAAACCCTCTGCCACGGATAGTTGGGTAGAGACATAACCTTGAAATCGCTATCTCTAAACAGCAGGTTCAGGTCTATTGGGTAGCCTTCCACATGGAGACGCGCCAAGGATCGAAGGATATTGACTTTGTCGTCCGCAACATCACGGATATCAGACGGACGCCTCAGTGAGCCCGTCACGAAGCGTTGGGAGTTGGTTGGATTTGACGACAAGCAGTCCCTGATAGCTGGGGACAGAGATGGGTGAGGACTTATCTCCAACAAACTAGTGTAGCCCTCCTTCAGTATTTTGTCAACGGCCCCACGGAAGTGCACTGTTTGCCGGATGTTTTTCCACCAGTACTCAGCGCTGTTGGCCGTGTCTCGGTCCAGATATTCGTTTGTAACCGTTGACATCATAGGGATGACGGGGTTGGCACCAATGCTCTCCCTACTCGACGACTCTAAAAACTTGGCCTTCTTAATGAAGTCCTTCCTGATTTCTTCCTGCTGGTAGCTGTGGAAAGCATTGTGTACCTTAAGTGAAACACATCGGATACCGTCCTTCTTCAACGAGTCGACAAAACCAAGAACTGACTCACTATCCCCAGACAGAACGACCTGTGTCGGACTATTAATTGCTGCGATGTCAATGACACTAACGTACTCACTGTTCTCAAGACGGGCTTGTACTTCATCTACGGCGTGCAGGACTGCTACCATGGCACCCAGGCCACTTGTCTTGCGCAGTTGCCTGCCACGTATGTAAATGACTTTTATGGCGTCCTCCAATGAAAGGAGAGCTGCAGCGTATGCAGCTGCTACTTCTCCGACGCTGTGGCCAATGATAGCGTCTGGGGTGACTCCACGCATACGGTATAATTCGGCGAGAGCAATTTGGACCGCACAGATGCTTGGCTGAGCGATTTCTAAGCATTGAAAAGAAAGAAACAAACACAAAATCATCCGATTATATGGCTTTGATCTGTGATTTTTTTAACTACATTATTATTAAATATCTGACCCAAATTATGTTCAGACATTTACTTTCGATGATGGTTTTAATGAGTTCGAATTGGAATGACTCTCTGACACATGATCTTAAGCACTATAATCGCAAATGCCATCGATAAAACCTTTTCTATAACTTTGACCTTGCTTCGATTCATAAGTATATAAACGACTCATATCTAACCCTTGCGTTGTTCATAAGATGTGACTGGTAACAAATACATTTATATTTGAGTAGACAAAAGGTTTTCCTTAGCTATTGCCGAGTTTTTTAAGTTGGTACTAATGACAATTATCATCAAAAAATGCCCCTATTAACGGTTGTCGAGATGAAAGATATACGGCAGTTTTTCAATACTCAGCTTTGTCTCCATCTCAGGCTTTGTCTCCGAAACCAATCCCCGATTGTGAGCCTGGTGCGTTTAAATTAAACTGAAGAACTGTAGTGTTTGGCTCTTTTGCATTCTAGTTGATGTTTTGTGGTGCTATCAGACTTACTATTGTGCTTACAACTTCAAAGCCAGCTAGTAAAAAAGGGTTGAAGCATAAAACGGAGCCGAAGTCCAGCATTGGAAAATGGACATAGCTTGTTTCCTCGCCTATTATATTCACCCTGCTAACAACCTTGAAACAGTAAACAAATTATCAGTTAAAAAGAGTCAATACTAAATAGTCTGTACCTGTTTGGTTGATTTTATCGCGGTCTGTTTCCTTGGTCAGTATGTGCAGTAGAGACCATTTAGCACCGCACTTGGTCAGTATCTTGTCAATCCTCTGCAACAAAGACAAGAGCAGGCCTGACGGGTGAATTTAACAGGACTTTATTCCTGATCTAGAAGCTCATATCGTCCACAGAATAAGCTATGCAGCATCTAAATGTTTGTAAGGGATTTGTTATTACAGCCCAATCCGGGTTATCACGGGGTTCATTACACAGCCGAGTGGCTGTCCCTCTGCGACCTGTTCATTTTCCTCTATAGTAAGATTCACCCATTGAGGAGGATGAATTCACGGCTTTAGTTTGAAGGCACAACATATCTCGCATAATGCATTTGAGTAGGAAAGGGCGATCTTCTAGTAATCACACTTTTCTTGTAATTCTGATATTATCTGGTTGGTTGTTCATCGTTTTGAGGAGCATACTGTTATTTTAACCATTGTCCCTCATGCAAAACATCGATACTATTTTCGTTCTGGTAAAAAACGATAAGCAGTTATGTTGCATATTGCTTGGTGACTCACATCAATAGAAAAACATATTTTCATATTGCTTTTATTTTTCAGAATTTGCTTTCTTTTTCTACAATTTTGTTTAAGATGGAGCACCGTTTCTTTGTTTTTAGTTTTGGAAGAAGTGTCAGACAATAGACGTCAATGGGCATATATTATGCGAAGTGGAAAATGTGGTGATGAGTTCTTACCCTAATGACGCTTTTGAACTGCGGTTCATCGTCCATCAGTTGCCTTGCCATTCCCCACCACTGCGTTCCCATCCCACCGAAGATAAACACCAACCGATGGCTGTTGTTGCCTTCTGGTGTCTTACCCTCGATAACGTTGTAAGCCACTCGCGGGTCATGCTCCACCTTTAGGCGAATCTGTTCAGCCGCTTCCCGTGCTGTCCGTGCGATCACGCCCAGCCGGAACTGGTGGTGCGTGGACCGCACCGCCGCCGTGCAGAGGGCGTTGCAGAAGGCCCGCGAGTCGTTCCCGATCACGTCGTTTAGGTAACCGATCCAGTCTCGCATGCGCTGCCTCAGCGCGTCCTTGCTGGCAGCTGACAGGAAGAGAATCATAGGAACGATGACCTCTCGCTCCGGCTGCATCTGAGATTGGGTAGTTGACGAGGTTGACCCCCTGTCCCCTCTCTGGACTGGTTGGGGGGCTCCTTCTAGGACGAGGTGGGCGTTTGCTCCCCCAAAGCCAAACGAACTGCACCCAGCCAGTTTCTTGGCTCCCTTAGGCCAGCGGGTCAGTTCTGCCGGAACGCGCACTTTGAGTGCCTCGAAGTCTACATTTTCGTTCCCTTGCCTGAAGTGAACCACTTTTGGAATCTGTCCGTGATGAAGACTCAAAGCGGTTTTGATGATGCCGGCTACTCCAGCTGCACCCTCTGCGTGGCCGATGTTGGACTTGACCGAGCCAATGTACAAGGGTGGGTGGTCGGGTTTACGGTTCAGGCTCATGGCTTCGCCCAGCGCGTTAGCCTCTGTCCGGTCTCCGATCTGCGTGCCTGTTCCGTGAGCCTCCACATAAGCAACGTCCTCAGGGTCAGTGCAAGCGTTCTTGTATGCAAACTCTGCTAGGGACACCTGGGCGTCAAAACTCGGGTTGGCGATGCCCGGGGTCCTTCCGTCGTTATGCAAAGCTCCCCCACGCACAACTGCGTAGATTCTGTCCCCATCCTCCAGTGCCTGCCGCAGTGGTTTCAGTATCACGGCCCCTGCTCCTTCACCACGAGCGTAGCCATCTGCCGATCGATCAAAGCTCTTGCTCTTGCCGTCCGGGGACAGCATCCCAGCCTGGCAGAATCCAATGCTAGTCACCGGGATCAGGGAGATGTTAACCCCTCCGGCTACGGCCATGTCGCAGTCCCCTTTCCGGATGGCCTCACAGGCCATGTGTATGGCGTACAAGGAAGAGGAGCAGGCCGTGTCAATGACGAAACTCGGCCCGCGAAGATCGAACTCGTAGGAGATGCGATTGGCCACCATGCAAGAGTTGGTGCCCGAGTTGGTGTACTGGTTGATGTTCTCGTTGGGCATGGCTACCAGGACGCCGTATTCGCTGGCCGTGACGCCCATAAAGACTCCCGTCTTGGATCCACGGGCGGTGGACGCTGGGATGCCTGCGTCTTCGAAACTCTCCCAGACTACCTCAAGCATCAGTCGAACCTGAGGATCCAGCTGGTTGGCCTCCTCTAAAATATTTTAAAGATGTCAAAACAATATCCGACAAAAATTGTAAAATGTGGACTAACAGTCCCATGTCTATTTCGAACTTCAAAACCTAAAAGCGTCAATACTTTGCTGTATTACGTCTCCGGCAAAGTTTGTTTTACACTCAAATCTGTTCCATTTCCAAGCTCTTAAGATTGTTTCACCTTGAAAGCCCATAGGATCTCCGAAAGGGGCATTTCGATGATTACTTATCTGTCACCTGCACTACGTAAATGCATGTCTAGAAATCGAAACCGTTTTATTTGCCCGGACGTTTACCCAACGCAAAGTCGCCTCAATTTAATTTAATCACATTCAAAAGTTAACAACAGGGGCCAATTTCATAGAGCAGATTAAGCAAAAAATTTGCTTAATTAAGCGTGAAAAAAATTGCTCGACAAATCAGGTAACCAGCCAAAACTCCATGTGATGTATGTTGTTATGGAATGATATTCACCTGTCGTTTGGTTAGCATGAAAATCACGTAGATTTTGAGCCGGTAAACTTTTCTTTTTTTAAGCGAGGAATTTTTGCGGTCAAGCAATTTTGTGCTCAAGCAGCCCTATGAAATTGGCCCAAGCCTACTTATGATCAATAACAAGGATTGAATTTCACATTGTGTTTGCATATTCCACTGAAACCTTTCAATGCACATTTTTTATTGCTTAAAATTAAAACTAAGTCTCTTTAACATGTACAACTTTATCATATCTCAAAATATATTTTTGACTTACCTGGCGAGATCTTGAAGAACTGCCTGTCGAAAATTTCCGGGTTTTGGTTCAGATACCCGGCGCACTTGTTGAACATCTTCCCCGGCAGTTTTTTGCCCGGATACAGGAAGAACGAGGCGTCAAAGCGGTCCGGCGGCGGGGGTACCGTGCAGTCCAGCCCCTTGGCCAGCACCTCCCAGAACCTCTTGACGCAGTCGATGCCGTTGGCGTAGCGGCAGCCGATGCCCACGATGGCCACCTTGCGCTCGATGGGCATGCTGGAGTCGTCATGACCGACGATAGTAGGGGTACGCCGGCCCTGGCGGAGGTAGGCTTCGGGGTCGGAGGGCAAGCCAGTCATCTTGGTTGAGCGGCGGATCTTGAAGGAGCGGCGCACGTGCCTGGGCTTATTGCTGAAATTGGGCTTACTGGAGGTCTCCATCGTTAAATTTCCCCGCTGACGTTAGAAAAAATGACCTCCATAATCCAAAAATAAGAAAGCTGGGTTAATGAAAATACACATACTAAGTTCTTTGCGCTTTGTGATCAATTACTTTTAAGAATTTGTAATACTTGTACAAACTTATTTGCTGCAATGGTTCATTATTGTTATCTCTGTTGGACGTCATCAGTTTAGCTATTGAATTTCCCCCAACTTGTTTACAATATTTCATATGTGTGTTTTAACAAGGGAGCTTTTGAGGTTAAACACGAGGCTCTTTGTAACGTCAGCAGCTGTCTGAATGTTGAGAGTATGTTGCCATCCATAAGGCGTCTTTCCAAGTGCGCGTCAAGCCGTCAACACTTGCGTATCCGTCAGAATCGATCGGAGCGATTCCGACAGCCGAATGCAACGCACACGTGCGGTAAGTTACTGGAGTCGATTTTTGTGTCCGTGAAAGTGATACACACCATTTTATCTTGTATGCAAAGTACCCCCCCCCAAAAAAAAGAAGGTACATATGGAAAGGCGCCTTTAGGATGATCCCTTTGGAAATTATGCGTGTTCATTGTATTCAGATTCGGCCATCTGCAACGCATGGGGATAACCAGATTATAACGAAGCCTTTAGGAAACTTCGTAGAGAAAGAATCGCGATAAAACAGTTTGTTTTATTTGTAAAAAATATAATAAGAAGGCAAAAAAGAACGAGCAATCGATAAAGGCTTAATATGAGCTTTTAGAGCTAGGATTGCCATTTAAAATACACTTGCTAACATGTAATACAGAAATGTTTTATAAGTGATGCCCAGTTCATGACACCACTATACTTCTCAAGTTAGATCGGTGTCCAGCACAGCAGCGACATGAAATGCTTGCAGGTATAATAATATTACATGTATCATTACATTCTAGCATCGTTCAAATTTAAATCAAAGTGTATATGCCAGTGAAATTGTGAACAACGACACTTAAATGTGAAGCTGTATCTGGAAAGTCACTGAAAGTTGGACTATGTTGAGTAGTTAGATGCAGTCTTGCTCCGATGCAATCTACATCTTGTATGACACAATTAACGCAATCAAACTTATATTGAAACCATGTAATCACCCATTCCGTTTAAACTCTTAGCAAGACCAAAATGTGTGTCTGAAATTCGTGCGATGAGTTTGATTTATCATATTTTATTTAAGCATTATTGAGTTCACACATTTTTAAATCGACTGCTCCTTGATTCCTGTCTGACAAAGTAACTTTCATTCATCGAAAATGACATTTCTATTTTTTGAGTTACTATGTACTCTCCTCCTCTCCGCAACTTGGTTCAATGATTCTCATATCGAATCCCAAGAATATGTGAATTCAAAACCAGTGGGCGATTATGTCTCCACGTCCCTGAGCACATGAAGTTGATCCCTGAAACACCGACTTCCCCCCAGCGAAGTTCCACTCAGTTCCTACTGTTCATGTCTAAAAGCAGGGGTATGACTAAGCACGGTCTCCTCCTAACAGCAGGAAACGGGGGAAATTTCACGGCAAGGTCTTGGGCTTTTTCTTTTCACGGCACGTTCACTGCCGGGCTTTCTTAATTCACATGTTATACATGTACATAGAGGTCCCGGCTTCGACTGAACTATTGCAGAGAACGGCAGCGGGAAGTTTCGGGAACTTTTTTTCCGGCATATCTTAACTTACGGTTGACTCTTGTTCTGTGGCATTTTTCATGCGATGAATCAATTCGTACACTTCAATTTATCTTTTTTGAAGCATCATTTCCCCTTTTCCCATATCATTTCTTTTCATTTTTCCAGTAGGTAAATACTGTTGTAAAGTGATTTTAAATTGGTATTACTTTAGTCCGTATAATCGGCATACGGTGGAACAATAGAGGAACTTCGCATGCTTTGCCCATGTGCAGTCTATTTTGGGATTATTCCAGATAGAACTTTAAATCAAATGCTCAAGTCAGAACTAATTTATACTGGCTCGATTGAGAGTGCACTCGGAACACCATCCATCCGGACGCCCAAGTGTATGGGCCTATGAAACGTTCTACATCTTGATTGCGTTGCTGTCTGCGTTTCTTACGTCGTTATGGAAACTGTCAGGCTCTCTCCAACACCCCAACACCAACTGACACGCGCCAATGAGCGGCCACAGCAGCTCTCAACACAATTCCAGCCTTCACGCCCCAGTACCCAGATAGCTTGGATCCCCATTCCCACACCTCAGTGATTACCCACAGCGTTTAACTAGCAGCACAGTAAGATCGCATCAGTCCTAAAGATGGACAGAGCATTCACTGTCCGAAACGTTGAGTAATCTGTTCTTTTCAGAACCACACACAGGCCTACTCAAAAGAGATATTTTCCACATGGTGTATCTGCAAACCTCTACCTCATCAGGCTTAAGTTAATGGAGTCGATTTTTGTGTCCGTGGAAATGAAACGCATGACCGCATTTTGTACGTAAGGCGCCCCAAAACAACCCACATATGGAAAGGTGTCTTCAGGATGACCCCCTTAGAGATTATGCGTGTCGACTGTATTCAAAGTCGGCCATCTGCAATTCCTGGTGATAACCACATCCCAGACAGCACACCGATATTGGAACAACGGAAGCAACGGTCTAAAAACGTTGCAGTCTGTATCAGACGTTGGGCCGGCGCTGGCCACCGACGTATAATCACAGCTTTATTTCTGTGTGCGTCGCAGAGTTGGTCAGCCAGACGTCTGCCTTTGGTGGAAATGTGACGTCAGTTAGAAGTCAACCTTTGGACGTTGAACTTTAGTCTGAATATGGTTAGTGTTTCATTGTTTTCAAAAGGTAAATACCGTTTTTAGTATCGGTACGACTCGAGTCCGTGTAATCGGCATACGGTGGAACTGTAGAGGAACTTTGCGTGTTTTGCCCATGTTCAGTCTGTCTTGGGATTATTCCAGATCGAACTTTAATTAAATGCTCAAGTCATAACTAATTTAAACTGGCTTGATTGTGAATCCACTCGGAACACCATAGTAATGCGGACGCCCAAGCGTATAGACCTACAAATTGTTCTTCGAGATTTAGCGGTTGTGCGCACGGTTCGATTAGGATCTAACGGCGAGCGTGCGCTTGCCTTGTTGGCAGAAAATGATGAACTGATGACCTACGCGGAGGTTTGAGAGCCAACGTGGAGGTTGGGGAACCTGGATACTTGCCAGCGAACGCCTAGTCAGTTAACCGTATGGTTAAAATAGCTCTGGGTACTTGACAACCGGGCGTTGTAGGCAGAGATTACGGGTAGAAATGTCCTATTTGAAATTTCCTGCAACCAATGTAGCTTACCCTTCCTGAACAACCTGTCTATCTTCATTGAATGAGCAAGTTTTCGTATAGTGTGTGGGTTTGTGATAACCTCAAAATGGCTGTGTAGTATATGCCCCACGATTAAGTGCTCATGCAGTCGAGGTTGACAAGCTTCATATCGCAAGAGCCATGAGGCGTTTTGCACTAAATTTTAGCGACCCCGCAATATCATTCCAGTGACTTCTTGCCACATTACAGGGAAGTTGAGGCGAACCAAGTTCTCAAGTTTTGTGTCATTACAAAAGGCCCAGTCCTAATCAAATCTTAAGTTTGATAACCCCATGCGCTTATTGCTCCTTTTGGGGGAGCTACGCCTGAAGGTTAGAAGACCACTTAAAAAATATAAGTCTGTAAGGATCTTATTTTACATATAATTATGATTATAGAAAAACAAAGAGATTAAATGACTTCACCAACAGCGGTAACTGCATGCAATACCCCCTGTACGAACAGCCCCCCCCCCAAAATAAAACCCTGGATCCGCCCCTGAACCCTAACAATCTCCTTCGGTTCCACCATGCATCTTATTCGAAGGGGAAACGAGGGTTGCTTTACGATCATTTATAAATAGACTAAACTTGAATGTTGTTAAGCCCTTACAACTCAGTCAGAATGTATCACTTTAGGAACTGAGTGTAATTGGTACGTGACTCACGGTCTTGCTTCAAGTTTAATACAGAGTAAGGTAGTAATGCATTATTTTGTCCGTTTGGCAATTTCAGAAACACCGTTTTGAGACAAAGATCTTTATTTCAAATGCTCTCACCTTACTCTTGCAGGAACAGACACGTGTGGGGCTAATTACGGGTGGGTTGGTCAGAAACTAAGTTCTCGAGCCCCTTGCTGTAAAAAGGCCCCTCTTTAGACAGAGTAAACTTTAATGGATAATGTCAAATGCCTACCCTAACATCTCCAACTTGGAGCAGCGGGTAGCTTACCTCTTTGGCGACTGAAGTAGTTACAGAAGTGTTCTTACGCTACGGCAGTCATTTCATCAAGTAAGTCTTGCTACGAGGCTCGTCGAGTAGCTAGGAGTCTTCCCAAATAGAACAAAATTCTTGCTCAAGAACCAGCTTACGGTGACGTTTCGAGAGTTGGTGTTCACCCTGTCGGGTTGTGCGACCGACTTCTCGTCCGAACACCAACACCTGCTGTATTTGTACTTCTGTTCCTTCCACCCTGTGCGAGTCTGCGCGCGCACAACCTCGTCAGCAGCCCCCTTCATCCGACCTAACAGACTCTGCCACACCGACACATACCTAATCTAATTTCTGGCTGGTTTGCCTCTCTCCAAGCCTGGCTCGGAGGCCCGCTCGCCTCGTCTACCGTGTTGCGCAGCAGTGCATGTACGCAGACTCATACAACCTCGGCAGCTGACTGACTTCACTTCCCGGTGACTAAGTTCCGACGGGGTATGTTACGTGATTGTGTGAAACCTCCACTTTGTATCTTGTTGTACGTTATTGAATAGTGTGGTTATAAAACTGCAAAAGAACAAGTCCCTAAAAACTTTTACAACCAAAAATAGCACTCACGTAGACACAACAGGGACCCGTTTCGCCCCTCCCTCTAAGCCCCTAGGCTCTCTTGGCGAAGTGACTAAGCGTCTATAATTACTTCCTTTTTCATGTTCTATGAGATAATTCAGAGCTTTCCCTGCAGTTTCGAGAACGTAAACAATAAATCATAGAACATTATATTTTTCCCGATGAGTCGCTAATACAAAAGTATAATAGGCACAAGGTTTGAAATAAGGCACAAGCGAAGATGACATTAAACATGGAGCTAAGGAACAATACATCCTGCTTTCACGTGCAGACTCTTGCAGTTTATTTTTGCGGTACATTTGTGACTCTCTGTTGTTGTTTTTTTTTAATTCGAAACCTGTGTTGTAGCTTTTAACTTCAAACTGTCGATTTCTAATGAAGGACAGATTGTAAACCGATGAAGTACATATATTTTTTCTAATGCAGCTTGTAACCAGAGAGTCAGTGCTACTTATGAGAACTATAAGTAAACATTCAGTCACATTGTTCAAAGAGTCTTCTTGTATAGAAAGCGCCTTATTTCAGTGTAGTGCAAGTAAAAGTAAGATAATTATGTTGATATAAGCACAACCGTAAAAATTATTTCATTCAAGGGCGGCTTTCGCTTCGTGGATTCCAACATTTCGTCGGCCACCATATTTTCTTTGATTGCAACAATATGAAGTATTCAAGTATTTGTTTATCCAACACCCGAATAAATCCTTTCATTACCTACGAGTAAGGAAGTTCTTGTGATCATGCAAATGGGAATTCTATTTACCGTGGAATGAAACTTCTTTTTGGAGTACGGCCACAAGGGGTGTTGGGAATAAAATACACGTCGCAGGAATTCATTGAGGCTTGAAACTGAAGAATCTGAAGAGGATTTCACAGGAATGAAAACTGGATGTATGTAATAAAGTTAATTTACATAAACTGAATTGTTTCTCGTTTTGATTGAAGAGCGTGGACTTTTACTCCAGAAGTAACAGTCTCATGCATACGCGCTGTAGCTTCCTGCTAGGTCTTACAAGTGCGTGTACTCCCATCTTGATGAAAACAAACGATAAAATAAAAAGAAAATAATATTTTCCATAATCCTATGGGATAAAACTATAGACATTTTGAAATCTTCATTTTGTAATTTGGAGCTACTTTTCAATGAAAGGAAGCAGGTACTTTAGACTGGTTACTGCTTGGGTGGAGGCCGGAACCAGGCTATCTATTAGGACTGCCACGATTGATTCTGTCCGGGATGATTATCCCTCAGTCTTTTTACCAATACGCTCACGACGTTTAAATTAAGGCCAGCTGACTTTTCTTGCTATGATGACGATTGAAAATGTAAACGTAAACAGCATCCCGTGTGTTGTCTTACGCCTTGTGGTAACCTGGAATTCGACGCTCGTTTGATTTCTCGTCCATGGAGTCTCCGGTTATTGCAGACAACCTTTACGGCCGTATTGCGAGTGATTTGCAGCACTGGACTCTTTTCCAGCTCCACGTTATTTTTTCTGTCGGTTTACTGTTTGAAAAACTGTGAAAGCCACACCCAACCATACAGCCATTGGTGGCTTAGGGAAAGGAACCGGCCCACCTCCTCCCAAAAAGGTAGCAAAATATGCGTGTTTGAAATAAGGAGAAAATGCGACTTTTCAGGCGAGGCCTTTTCGCTTCTGTTCCTCCAGACAAAATAATAATATTGTCAAAAGCCCTAACATTAGCCGTACCCCTCATAAAGGCCATAAAGGGTTACATGAGAAATGCTTTTCCACATTCCCCTCCCCTCAAAATTTCCTCCGAAAACTTGGTTGTGGATCTGAGCCAAAGTTGTCAGAAGATAACTATAAAATGTCGGACGGAACTATTTTATTTAACCTAGCAAATACTATTTTGAGAGAAATTTGGATTATTTTGGGAAAAGTGTTGGAAAATGATGCCACAAGGATGAATAGCGCGATCATCTTTTTTTCTCACTGTTCTTTTTGTTTGTTTGTTTGTTTGTTTGTTTGTTTGGGGGTTGTTTTCGTTTTAGAGTGTTTAAAATCGCTGACACAACAAAGATCATTTTTGACCCACCTTTTTTGTTTTTGTTTTGTTTTTTGAAATGTACTGACTTCCTTTTCTTGTGGTCAGTTGATGAATAGGCGGTGCCGGTCACTGCGGAGGTATCTCATTTCCTTCTCCTTTCCTCACACAATGGGGCTTCCAATCATCCCGGTTCCGTAAAAATACGGTAGTCCAGTTCACCGGATCACACAGATCTTCTCCAAATTCAATTTCCCCTAAAGACAATGGAATGTGCTAACAGGGTGGTTCCACCGAATGCTGCGCCTTTGAACAGCTATACATTCGAAGGAAAGGTGGAGACGCCCAAGAACGCGAGTGGACCATTGTGAATTAATGCTGGGTGAATGAACGGAAGGGTCGATTAGGATTATTATTAGTGGACCGCATCCCTTCATTAATTTTCTTGTGTTAGGATTCTCAAGGTAGTTTGTGCAACGTAATTATAGGCGGTGCCTTTAGTCTAATTGTAAGTCAAAGGAACGGAAGGGGGTCGAAAATATCTGCAGATGCAGAATGGCGAGGTGCACATTTTGATAGAGGTCGCACAGCCATAAGGTTGCTCCACACCAAATACGCGGCCAAAGAAAACAATGCAAAATCAGACCGAAAGAGCGCCGCCTATTGACTCTCGTGAAGAGGTTGGCCTCCGTTTTTTTCCCTCCGGAAATTCAAGATTATGGCAAGAAGAGCACATTTCGTTTCAATTTTATAGGTGATAGCCACGAATTTTTTTTATTCGCCTTTCCCGAAAATACGCCCAAAATAGTGGTAAAACTATGAGCTCAGCTCTGAATGTACCCACCCGCTTTTATCCAAAATAGGCCCGCATTTTGGGGCTTTTTGTGAAAGAAATACCCCGAACTGGAAAACATCAGTCCCAAATTCGGGATTTATAGAAATATTTCTATGATCCCTCCTGATTATGGCATGTCTTATTGTTAAACTCCCCTAGGGTCACAAAATAATAATGAGCTCGCTCGCAGAAATACGACCACTTGATGAAATGCACCCATAATGAAAAGGTTGCCAAAATGTGTCTTTATGCATACGGGGCGCCAAAGTACAGGATACCTTATAGTGGACAAATGCAACAAGTGGGGCAGATGGGAAAAACTATTTTAACAATTTTCCCCTGTGAACATTATTTTGTAAATTTGTGACACCTGTCCTCTTTTAGGGACTCCATATGAATTCCTCGAAAACTTTTTTTTTTTTTTTTGGTTGAGGTCATTGGACATCTACGTCATGAAATTTGGACATGTGATTTGTTTTCGAAAACAGACAGACTGTGTCAACAATCCCCATTGACAATGCAGATTGAAAGTGCTCATACACTTGCCAGCACGCGTGAGACTGACCATCAGGTTTTGAGTCCCAGTGAGGTGGGTGGAAATATTTTTTTCTGATCCGATTATCTAATTCTTATCATCTGTAAAAGAATCCTTCCCTCCAATTTTTGCGTGGTGCCAATTTTAAAACTTGTCCGTAATGGGCACGTTGCCCCTGCTTCCTCCATAAACCACGAGTGAACTTTAGATGATCATGATTACAAAACTTAACGTCCAGTTGGATTTAACTTTAAAAGTATCTTTTAGTGCATAATGGAAAAATTTCAAAAATGTCGGGATCTTCTGTCTCTGGCGTCAAATATTGAACCCCCACCCCGCCTATACGTTTGTCCTGATATATTTCTTTCTTTCTATTTGACAATAACTTCCCTGTTCCGCGTAATGCACTGCATTCGGCAAATTACATCCTGGTCTTGGCCCAACGTATAATTAGAGTATAGTTCGCCCAAGCAGTAAGTTTGCCAGCTCTCTCAAAGTAGGATAATTTAAACGCATCTGTAGAGAAGAACACCAAATCACACAAAAATGGCGCCGCCTGGTAACAACCAGAATCCAACTGATAGTGTATTTTTCACTAGATCTGCAAGCTCATGACCACCAAGGCAAGTTTCTTTGTAATTTCGCCGGAGTTCAAGTAGCCATAATCACTCCCCTTCCCAAATACCCTTAAAATGGGGTGCCGGTCTCTGGGCCTATAGTCCCCACCTCTAAAGCCCAATTTTCTCGTCTCTCTTTTCTTTTCTCTTTTTCCAGGTTAACCAATGACTTTTGAAGATATTGTAATCTTAATATTATCACCCCTAAAAAGTTGTCAAGTGCATAGCCATTTTAAAACTGATGTCCACACTCCATGCCCAGATAGAGCCATGGGGGGGGGCTTTGTCTTTGTAGGCATTTGCCGGTCTTGCGTTAAAAGTAACAGTCCGAGACAATAGTTAAAAGCAGTGGTGTAACTGGGACACATTTCGAGGGGCTGGGGGGTATGGGGGCGCTTAATTTTTCCGGAGGAGGGCACTCGATTACCTCACAGTTGGTTCTGACCGTGGGTTGGGGACGAGCCAAGGTGGGGGAGCCGGGACACCGTGATGCAACCATTATTTTTTGTCACTTGAGGGCGCTGTCTACGATTTCGAGCGATTGCATCAACTTGCTGTTTTTCGTGCGCTTTTCAGCATCTGGTGAGTCACCTTTGCTATATGTATTTAGGCCAGGGCCTGCTGGAAATGTAAAATAACAGAATATTGAAGTATACTGTTTTCCGTGCTTGGAAATTTTAAGAAAACTGGAAACTATAACCGTAAGTTTTTAACGCACGTCATACTTTCAACCGATGCAGCAAACATGTGCACACCGATAATGAATGATGCAGACATGGCAAACACGTGTAGCCTAGGCCAATGCCCAGTAAACAGGGCCCAACGAATACTCCTCTGTCGTATACTGGGCCCCTGTCCCGATTAATAAGGATTTCTTTGGAAAACTTTATCCGGGGGCATAACTAAACATCCACTTAACTTTATGAGCTGAAATTTCACCGGTAGGCTTAGCCCCACTACTGTACTGGCACTAGTGTGGCACGGATCACTCCCGATTTATCCTTAGCCACACATCCGTTTACGCAATTTCGTGTCGGCGTATTGAACATTTTGGCGCACCCACTTATCATCGTGGGCGCAATTTCTTTTGCACACGAACACGGTTCTTGACCTTTCCACTTTCTAAAAACCATTTACACACCTGTATTGAATGATTTCACTCACGTTATTCAGGTATTTTCCAGTCTTTTTGCCTGTATCCATTCAATCTAATGGGCTCGCTCTCTTGAGGTGTGTTTGAGGGAAATTTGGGGTAAAACGGCTGTGTACATGACCACCTGAAGAGATGTGAATGATAACACTGACAAATTAGCGAATGTAGTCTGGTTCCTTGACTTGGATGGAGATTTGTTTTCATGACTCAAAGGCTGCATTCGAATCTCTTGTCTAGAGCTAGGTCTAGGTCTCTTGGTCCATTGGAAATGCGTGGAGACGCGCAGACAATAGACCTAGCCGTAGCTCTGGAAGCCCGTTTCGGACAAGGCCAAAAATGCTTGAGTTGGGTTATCAGACGAGGAACAAAATGTCGTGATCCAACTGAGTGGTTGTCTTTTGCCAAACTCGGGTCAGAAGTTTGTGGTTTTCTTGCTTAAATTTAATGTACTCCTTCCTAAGTTGGTTTGCCTTTGAGTAAATTTAGGCCTAATCACACAGCATAAATGTCCCCATTGGTACTGTAGCATGGCGCTAGAGAGACACTCATTGGTTGACTCAGCCCTGCCCACGCTTCGCTGAGCTGGTGACGTCACAGCGACCACATGGCAATTACATGCAAGTTCATCGTCTGCACTCACGGATGCACTGCACGCATACTGCTGGAGCAGTTTGAGTAAATCAACAACCACTACGCGTCAGTCTACACTCACACGCAATTACACCCACATGTGTACGGCCACGCTTGTAGGGCACATCAAAATCCCCTATCGATCTTGCATATTCATGCGGCACACTCAGCACTCTAGTCCCATGTCTACCAAACGTACTGCCGACAATTCCCTGATTCATACTGAACATGTTCAGCCAGTGGCGCGATTTCATACATAAATAGCATTCAAAATATAACTTGGCAAACTTACCTTGCCACCAGGGAATCAGCAAGATGTCAGTCCTCATTTTTGCATTAAAGAAATCAAAGTTTATGTTGAAGGAATCTTCTAAATCATACAATTTTTGTACCCTTGGAAAACTCACCTCCAGCTCTATCAGAACAGAACTGAATCAAGGTACTGCTGCTAAGCAGGAGCGCATTGCGCTTGCATTTTCTTTCATGAAAACTGTCTTATACAGCGAGGTCAATGACTTCAGAAAATGAGTGCTCTCTTGTGGCTGCTTAACATGAGGGTTCAGTGCTAACGTGACTTACACTAACCTACGTCAGAAGTATCTCAGAACGTGCATCGGTGTTTATGAAATATTAGTTGAAACTTGGATATAGAACACTTTCTACAACTTTCTGTAACCTTTTCAAACTTGGTCATAAAAAGTCATCAAAAGATTTGTGCAAATCTGTTAGGGAAATAGGTTAAACCAGTTTTGGGGTCAGTATTTTGGCCAGTTTTCTGGCCTAACAATAAAGTTACAGCAGGCAGAAGTTGGAAGTGATGTCTGCATACATGTATGTTTAGATCATGCTCCCATCTGTTCATTTTTTGAATTATCAAAATTGTGCTAGAAATTGAGATCAGTAAGAAAAATGTATGTTGGGTGAAATTGGAGAACATTTTCATGGGATTGCTGCTTTCTTGGCTCCCCCATACACACTTTGTGAAAGTGTTTCTGTAGAGTAATATTATGTGGAAAATAAAGTGCACTGAACTGATTGAAACATCAGGCCTCATATTTATTAAACTATTTACATTTCAGGTTGCAGTAGTAAAGCATTTTGCAGCAGGTTTTGTATTTATTCAATTTGTGTGTCAAATCTTATACAGTTTGAATTTGCAGTGCACTGCAATATACATGTACAGTTAACCACTTGCTGCTGGGGACTCCGGTTTTGGGCACCGTGTGTTGTTGCGTGTGGCCGAGGTCTCTGAAATCGGACAAAGGGAACTGGGCCTTGTAACAAAAGACTGTACTAGGAACAAAAAAACCAGGCTGCTGGGCATTACCGACATTTTTTCACTTTCAATAGTGGAGATAATCCAGCCTTGTTTTGAAACAGTATACCACGGTTTTGGGGTATTTAGTGTGAGTGGATTACCACCGGGGACAAAAGTGCTCCACCACCGCAGCGATAAGCCACACAGCACCACTGCATGCTATTCTGGCTCCTATTGAAAAGAGGTCAGCAACACACTGTGCCAGGTTTGTGAACAAAAGAAAGTTGTATAGCACCGCACAATCTCGGCTCTTTTTTTGCAGGCCTGGCTGAAATACTCGTGTGCCGGTAGATTTTGTCTGTCAGACTAGAGTGGCCACCAGACAGTAATTTGTGTGGGTGCAAACGTCCGTTAACCCTAATTCCCCAAGGTGTGTGAAAAATCATATTAAAATTGGAGGATTCAGGGCTATTAGGGTTAATGAAATGATGAATTTTTGAAGAATTTTGAAAACTGAAAATCTTGAAAAAGTCCCGATTATGTGCACTGCATTTTTCAAACCACCTGGCAGCAAGTGGTGAATACATGTAAATTATCAGAACTCTTGAAAAATTACATGTAAGTGGTTCACTTGTCCTTTCCAGGTTGTTCAAATTAAAGAGGCATGGCAGATAGCAGTGAGGGGAGGCGTAAGGGTACCGCCAAGGTCCGCACCCTCCAAGAAATCGAGAAGAAGGTCCAGGAGCGATGGGATCGTGAGAAGATTTTTGAGGAGGACGCACCCAGCGGGGTCAAAGGTCCTGGGTAAGGTCACTAGATCATGCGCATCATTTGACGGTTTTCATATATGGGGAGATTGGTAGTCTTTCTGGGGATTTTTTGTGAGAGCGTGTGTGAAGGGTGCCAAACTGATTAAAAAAAGTGGTAGGGGCTACAGGTAAAAACATTTTGTATTTGGTCATCCAGCAATTAACTTCTGAATCTGTCTTCTTGTACTTGGGCACAAATTATTTGTGCTGTAAGACCAAAACAGTCGCATTTGCGCCTAAAATTTGATGGTGTGTGACCAAATGTTTAATTCTTATCGCCAATGGCGACCATGATTTGTGCCCGTTTTAGTCACCCACCTTGTCAGTCATATTTCGCAAACGATCGCTGCCTAGTTTTCTTCTACATGCATCAAGCGATGTGTCTCCATATGATCACGTGGTTTTCCTCCATCTTACTATGTACACAGCATGAGCCCACGTTAACTGCAGCGTAGCTACACGTAGGTACATACACGCACGTACAGGTACTAGGTACCTGAGTCCACTGGTTTGTGGTCGCACGCTGTACAGAGAGCTGAGACGTTGCGCGTATTCATTAGATGCACAATCAGTCTATGCACGTGCCGGTCCGGTGCCAGGTACGAAATGCTTGAATGTAAGACTCCAAACATGCCTTGTCTTTTCTTTCAGCTTTTTTTTTCGTACAACATGGGTGCCATTTTTTATTTATTCCACAAGCACAAAATCCAAAGCCTGTCTGTCCTGCGGAAAATTGACAGAATAATGTTTCTGTATATGTTTTGTCAGATTTTGTTCATGTTGTAGTCCTAAATTGTATATTTTGCAGATGTGTGTAAAGGTATGTTCAAAAATTGACCTGGCACCTGACTTTTTTTTCTAGCAGCTAGGGGTTCCTCATTTTAACCCTAACCCCCTTGGCTCCTGCACTAGAAAGTATACTGAACCTCACAAAATCCAACAGGTTCATGAACTTGTCTATGTACTTGTACATGCAGGTCATTGTACATGTACCAAACCTGATAAACTCCAACAGAATAAACCCGTTGGAGTTTGAGTGATATGGTATGGATGGATCTATGCAGTATAGGATGACTTGCACTGAACAGTACCAAACTTGACAAAATCAAGCATAGTCCAACAATTGGTACAGCAAGCCAGACTCCGCACTCAGTGACCCCTGTGTGTCCCAACTCACACAGAATCCAACACCATCTCCCTGGGCCTTTCATCCCAAGTCTCACAAAATTCAACTACAAGTTCCTCAGGTATGGTACCAAACCTGCCAAAACCTCACAAAACCTGTTGTTGGAGTATGGCAGGTTTTGGGTAGTTAGGGTTAATTTTCTCTGTACACCTAGCAAAGGTAGTTTTGTCCACTGCAACTGAGAGAGGCATTAAAAAGGAACCCTACTTTCTTGATTAGGCCAAACAAAAAAATTGTTGTGTTTCCTATTACACTGAAAAATAAATTAGGATGGTTGATGGGGTAAAAAAAAATTTTTACGCTAAATTTTTATAGCCCAAAAAATTAGGGTTGGAAGACGGTCTGTATTTTTTGGGGGGGGCGTACTCAGTCTGTGTCAGATTAATACTGTACATGTGAACGTCAATATTACATATCAGCACTGTGACTGAGTAGTAAAGCAGCTGGTTGTTGAAAGACAAACACATAAGAGCCATCCATCTCATGCCAAAAAAATTAAAATGTACAATGTACAGGACGATGTACACAAAATTAGGCTCAGGGCACCTTAAATTTTTATATTTTATTGATTTGTCAAATAAAAAGATATAGGTCACGCATGATTTTCTAGGTTGGGTCTGGTAACTGGAAACCTAGCTATTTTTTTGTTTGGCCTTATGACCTTTGTTTGCCCCCTCCCATCTGCCATCTTGCCCTGCTATGCTCACAAAATCCTGATGAGAACCTGTAGTGTCACAGCCTCAATCGTAGCATCAGAGGACAGATGTGGATCGAGTATGATGAAACATTGTGGCAAGAAACCTGCATTTGTTCACTGTGTTACAACTTAGTTTCCCAAATCTTGTTCACTATTACAGGTTTGCTTGCCATGGATCAATTTTTAAACAAAGTTTTCTTCCTCTTTTGTGAAATGAGCTTGAAAGGAATTTGTGCATCTTTTTTTCCCCACTGCTTGTGTAATTATCAGGAAAGATAAGTACATGGTGTGTTTTCCCTACCCCTACATGAACGGAAGACTGCACCTTGGCCACACATTCTCTCTGTCAAAGTGTGAGGTTAGTTTGAATGTACATGATATACATGTATTTCTTTCTTTGTTTACTGAAATACTTGAGGGACAAGTCAGGGGGTCAAATCCGTCTTACCCCAAAAGCTGAGAAAAACATGGAAAATTGGCCATAAAAAGGGGGCCCGAAACACAAAAAGACCACTTTCATTTTGCCTACAAATTGTATGGGTAGCCAGAGTTTGCGGAAATACATGTATCACCTTTTGGTTGGTTTTCGATTTTACCTCAAATTCGTTCAAAATGGACATTTGCCCCATTAATTTTAAATAGGGTTGTATTTTCATTAAGTAGGTCATGTGTTATCATCTGGTGTTCTGATAGCTGTGTGGGATTTTGAATGCTGTGCGAGTTATTCTTTTAATTTTGTACTGAAGGCCAGCCATAGTTGTAGCAGCCACTTGCAGGAAAAACACGACTGTGACATCAAAAGAGGGGACCCTGTTATAATTGAAGTTGAATCTGGGCACTCCAAGAAAAAGTTATCAAATGTATCAGAAACAACCTTAGAGTCTTCATATTTTCTTGTCTCACCTCAGTTAAAATCTTCTCATACAACTAGTTGATATGAATTTGAATAAACAGGGATGTACATGTACATGTGAGTCTTCCAGCAGTCACCTGATTCCGGGCTTTTAGACATTTCACAGATAGCTGAAATTTAGGCAAAATTGTTAACCACTCGCTGCCGGGGAACCCTGTTTCGGGCACCATGGGTTTATACGCAGAGCGGGGCTGCCCGAAATCAAACAAAAGAGCTGGTCTGTGTATCAAAAGACCGTACTCGGAACAAAAGACCTGCTGCTGGGTATTGCCATCATTGCATTTTTCAAAGGTAATTCGTCACTGTTTTTAAACAGTATACTACTGTTTTGGGCATAGCACGCCCGCGGATTAGCACCGCGGACAAAAGTGTTCCAGGGCCCCATTGATGAGCGACACAGCACCTCTACACACTAATTCAGCTGGGAACAAAGGAAAATTACAATTCTGGGCTCTCGTTACGGGGCGGCAGGTCTGGCTGAAATACTCGGGAGTCAATGAAGGTTGCCTGTCAGCTTAGAGTAGCCACCAAACAGTCATTCATGTGGGTGTAAACGTCCGTTAAATGAACTGATGAATTTTTGAAGAATTTTGAAAACTGAAAATCTTGAAAATTGCCCATATGTGTGCACTGCATTTTTTAAAAGCACCTCGTAGCAAGTGGTTAAAGGTCAGATATATCCAGTAGGCGCTTCAGACAGAGGTATCAAATTGACTGCTTGTCCAAAGACTTGAGAAACATTGACAATAATTTGAGATTTGTATATTAGGGGACAGTGAGATGAATGCCCCTGCATGCCTGCGGCAGGTTCAAATGACAAATGTTTGACCATTGCCGTTTGAGCCATGGAGGATTGGACTATATAGTCGGCTAGTTTGGCACCATTTTGGAACCAAACCCTGGGGCACAGTCATATAGCCGGTTATCAAGGACTTTCTTCATTGATCAGTACAAAGGGAACCATTGGCCAAACCATAATTGTAGGAGACGAGCACGAACGCAGTGAGAATACTGCAAAGTATGAGTGACAAATGGATTTTGACAAATGGGTTCCGCTAGGTTTGCTCCGGTGTGACAGGCTTACATGTGCTCCTCAGTAAGAAGTAATTGACAAGTGGTTGAACTATAGTCTGTCACCCAACTTGCTCCTAGACAGTCATTCTGGGACATGTCTTTTATTGAATGCAAGAAGTTGCAATATTGCCAAACTGAAAGACCTTGTGTATCAAACACTCATCATGTTTGTTTTGCCTGGTCAGTTTGCTGTGGGTTACCAACGTCTAAAGGGCAAGCAATGCCTCTACCCCTTTGCCTTTCACTGCACCGGCATGCCAATTAAGGTAAGATTTCACTCTAAAAAGCAAGCATCTTAAGTCTCTTCAGCTTTTAATAAAGTGCTCATTTTAGTACGTGTGAATGAAAGGACCCATGTGGGAGTGTCTTGTAGCATTAAATGGAGTTCCTAGAATACTCCACATCCCCCAAAGCACAATAGTCAACAATTTTGGAAACAAAATGGCACCGTACAGGATTTCATGTCGCATCTCTCTCTGTTCCAATTTTGCCATTCACTCTGTTTTGTTGTGGCATTTTGTCACCACCTGCCTCACACAAAATGACAAAACAGCTAAACACAAATCTCGAATAGTTGTTTCTATTTTGGGGATTAATAATTTGAATTTTGGGCAATATTAGGCCTGTGCAGATAAGCTGAAGAGGGAGATGGAAGACTTTGGCTGTCCGCCAGTATTTCCCATGGAGATGGAGGGCGAAGATGAGATTGACAAGGAGGGGACAGATGTTGTCATCAAGGACAAGTCAAAAGGAAAAAAGGTATTGAGGAGTTATGAACGGCGCTTGAGTTATACCCACAAGCAGCTAGTTTAGGCTTGGACTAGACTCTCTGAGAAACACACATGTGAACATCGTATTTATGTTAGTTTTATTTATTTACATCTATTCATCCAACATGGCATTTAGCGCCAATTACTGGAGGAAGTGACAATTAAGAAGACAATGAATAGATGCTCAGTTCTAGAGGTGGGAGTGAAATCACAGATAAATATTCTAGGGGAAAACCCACAGAGTCAGGAAGGGACTGAAAACCCGATCCACCTGCTGCGCTAGGTGGAATTTGAACCCGGGTCGCAGGGGTGGAAGGTGAGGAAAGAACCACTACACCAACCTGACTATCCAATTTTGTTGTTATACGTGGCGAATGGAAACCACATAGTGAAATGAAGATAGACATTAACGGCCAGAAAGTTCATAAAGGTAAAGATAAGATTTGACATTTGTCCACATGCAAAGGGACTTACCAAAGGCGTAGCCACCTGTTAGATTCAGTCCACTACAGCAGTGCATGTTTTAAGCCCAGCTTATATATTGTGCAGCTTTGTGCGAAAGTGTAGACCTGTGCACTGACAATGTCTCTCCTTGTTTACATGTCTACTTTCTATGGAGCCAGTTAGGGGCCTTCAGTAAACAAAGCACAGTGTCATCAGTACAGAGATCTGTTACCATAGAAAGGTGTAATTTGTTCTTTGGCGACTGTATTTTTTATTTTTTTATTTTTTTTGTTCGGTTTTTGCTTGGAAAACTGGCATTAACTGTGTCAATTTTAACGGGGTTTCCTTTACCAACAGAGCAAGCTAGCAGCCAAGACAGGCAAGGCCAAGTACCAGTGGGAGATCATGCAGTCCCTGGGTATATCTGAGGAGGAGATCCCCCAGTTTGCTGACAGCCAACACTGGCTGGAATACTTCCCACCGTTGGCTAAGCAAGACCTGAAGGGGATGGGCCTCAAGGTGGGTGCCACTCCTATTCACTATTACATAACCCTAACCCCCCAAGGGTTGCTGGCCCTATAACCTTCCCCATTTACACAAAGTTAAACACCCNACCAGACCTATCCCCACAGAATTAAACACTTTACTACTGGTTAATTCTGTGTGGTTGGGGAAGGTTAGGGTTAAAGAACTCAGTAAATAAGACAATGTAAGAGCATTATCAATATTTCATTTACCTGTGAGGAAGTACATGTACTAGGTCAATATGAAGTGAAATGATAAATTTTGACTGAAAAATTCAACTGAATTCATACGCCTGAGGTAGACAAAATACTGAGAATATAAACAGCTCTCTCACTGAGCCATGTGACCTGACCTACATCTGCCATTGTAAGCAAAGTGTTTAGGTAGTAGGCAAGTCTTCAAAACTTTGATAAATGGAAAAAGGTGTGAGAAATACGTAGAACTAACACCACTCCCTTGATCATCGGAGTAACTTCCAACGATGTTACTCAGCACAGGTGGGTGTCTGTTATACAATACGATATTGTGTGATAATGCACAGTTGATTATAGCTCCCTGGGTGGGCATGAGACATTTCTGAAAGTTGACAAATAGTTCCTGAGGTGAACTGAGGGAACTAGTTGGTCAAACACCTCATGAACTTAAATTCTGCTGTGGCAATGATCTATGTATGCTTACTCGGTTTAACATCGGCCCATCCTTCTCCCAACGTACCAGACGGACTGGCGACGAACGTTCATCACGACGGACGCCAACCCCTACTACGATTCCTTCGTCCGCTGGCACTTCCTGACCCTCAAGAAGGCCGGCAAGGTGAAGTTTGGCAAGCGGCACACCATCTACTCGCCCAAGGACGGCCAGCCCTGCATGGACCACGACCGGCAGACGGGGGAAGGGGTAGGGCCGCAGGAGTACACCCTCATCAAGATGAAGGCCCTCAAGCCCTACCCGGAGCGCCTCAAGTGAGTCGGATACATACATGCGCTCGTGCATAGCACGAGGTGTGGATCTCATTTCTGATCTTTGTGAATCTTCACAGCCATACAAAGACACTCCTTATGGAAATGTTGCTGACGTTTCTGTGCTATCCGATTAAATGCAATTGGACAACCAGAATTAGAAGCCAGTGGCAGAATGGTCATGATCAGATGGTATGCATGCATGACACCTCTTCATCTAATAGGGTGTTGGGATTTTGCATAATGCATGTGTTGAGCTTATGAACACACGTTTCAGTGCAGTGCCACTGTAAACTGCATTGTCTTTGATTAGTAGAATAGGGTTTTGCTGTCATGATCATTTACAGTTCATGACCTTGTGTGTTTGTTCGTGTGTATTGAGCATGCCCTTGGGAAAAGTTGACTTTGGCTGACTGGCCCGGAAAAATCGTGAGAATGGTATGTCCAATTTTCCTAATACTGGTTTTAAAATGATTGCAAGACATTAGTAGAGCAACTCTTGAAGGCTTGCGGAATTTTGAAATTTGCCTCGGCCAGGAAATTCTCCAACAAGAGCATCTACCTGGTGGCGGCTACCCTCCGGCCGGAGACCATGTACGGCCAGACCAACTGCTGGCTGCGGCCGGACATGAGCTACATAGCCTACGAGACCAGGGACGGGGAGGTGTTTATCAGCACACACAGGGCTGCACGAAACATGGCTTACCAAGGCCTGCTGAAGGAGGAGGAGAAGGTGACGGTGCTGGCTGACCTGGTGGGCCAGGTAAGTATGGACAGTAGGAAGAAGCCCTTTGCAAAGTCAATGCGAATAAACTCTGGTACACTGAGTTATCTGATTGCACAGAAACATAACAATTTGAATTCCCCAGACTAAAGACACCGTTGCTATACCTTGTGACACGGGGCAAGCTTTTCATAGCGAACCACCTTCTCTGGAATGGACTGGTTCCTTTGTGCCCTTCTCATCCATTAAAAACAGTGTACTGGTGCAAGGCGTCTCTTATGTAACTAAGCAAAAGCTTGCCCCGAATCATGAGGTATAGCAACAGTGTCTTGTTCAAAACAAAAGTTCTTGTTCTTTGTATCAGTAAATAGGCTGTTTAATCCCTGTTGGGGCAATCGCAGCATGGAAGGTGCTATGATGCCATTTGATGCAGCCTATGGGACAGATAGAACCACCCGCCTTTGTGTTGGTCATAGTTATACTGGTATCTCAGGAATTCTTTTCAGACATCAAGGGGGATGTGTTAATTAACCATAGGCTGGAGTGTGTATAAGGATTGGACTTGTTGGGGGGGGTACCCCTCTGCCCCCTTTTGTGCCTGGAAAAATATGATGTGGTTCTTCACACAGAATACTTTGTCTCCTGACTGATGAAGAAGTCACTGAAATCATATGTGATTCTGACGTTGGTGATTCAAAGACAGAAAGAAATAAGAGAAATTTGTAGGACACATTGAGTGGTGTGGAACTGCAGGGATTATTTCCCACAGATGAGAAGGGAACCTGACAAGCTACCTGTCATATGAAGAGGATTTTTCAGGCAATCAATTTATTTGTATGAAAGCAGCAAGTGCATGCAATGGAAAGAATAATTTCCTGGGGTGACAGATTGACAGATTTGGCCTAATGGAATGGAAATCTCCAAGTCCTCCGTCTTGAAATTATCTTCACCACCGCACTCCTGGAAACTGGTATGATACTTTGAAGGAAAGGCTAGTGCTGTAAAGATCGGGAGGAGCGTTACAAACAAATAAGAATTTCAAAAAGTTTCATTGTGAAGAGTGCTTCCATATTGCTGTTGTATAAGATTTGGGTCATTCCGCCAAATTAAGTGAACGTTTGGTGACATTTAGACAGTTTCAAAATGAGCTGTCAGGGGCCTCTTAGAGTAGAGTTATGTTGCCTTGATGTTGTTTTTTTACTCTTCTGGTTCTACAATGATGCTCCAGAACATTTTAACAAAGAACTAGGGCCAATTTCATAGAGCTGCTTAAGCACAAATTTGCTTAAGCGTAAAAAAACCTTGCTTGACAAATCAGGTTACCAGCCAAATCTCCATGTGATGTATATTGTTTTGGAATAGTATTCACCTGTCGTTTGGTTAGCATGACAATCACATAAATTTTAAGCTGGCAACCTTTGTTTTTTAAGCAAGTTCTTTTTGCGCTTAAGCAAATTTTGTGCTTAAGCAGCTCTGTGAAATTAGCCCCTGGTTGCGGATGTAATGGACACCACACCATTTTCATGAGATTCCTTCCAAATACATGTAACTTGCTTAGAACCAGAGTTGTAACGACTCGCCAATGTTTGTGAATAAAGTCAAGTCAAGTCATTGTAATGTAGTGACTCCAGTTGAACTGAGTCATTAGGCAAAAATGTAGAGTCAAGTATTTAGCTCAGTTAATTTGAGTCACCAATATTGAACGCAATACAATAAATAAAAATGAGAGAAAGTCACTTTTTGAGATATTTAAATTTACCTCTGGGTTTCTGCATGTGGTAACATCTTACCTTCAGTGATAATGACACATAAAACCAGCACTGTAAGTCATTGCAACTGATTTCTGTGCAAAGAAGTTCGCTTTACATTTTGGGACACAAGTCTTATTTACTTTAACTCAAGTCAGCTCTTCAGATGAGCTCTTCAGATGAGGTACTCAAGTCATTTGTGAGTCATAAGCTCACAGTGACTTGAGTGAAGTCATTTACCCGCTGGGACCCAAGTCAAGTCACCAAAGGTTGTGACTTGAGTCAGACTTGAGTCGAGTCCTTGACTCGAGTAATTACTCCTCTGTTTAGAACAGGGCTCAACATTCCTAAAATGAACTTGGAAAATTACTATGACGTTTTACAGCCGCTCAATGAAATCTGCCAATTTATATCAAATTTCAAAAAGTGTGACATTAAGGGTCACAATTGACAGATTTGTTTGAAACATGAAGACTTTACATCAAATCAAACCAGTGTGCTTGGGTCTCCTTTGGAACGATGAACCTAGCACTTGCAGGGAAGCACATTTAGGATTGTTTGGGTTCTTTTCCACAGGATATCATGGGCATGGCCTTGAGTGCCCCTTTAACCTCCTACAAGACCATCTACACCCTGCCCATGCTGACTATCAAGGAGAATAAAGGGACAGGTGTGGTCACCAGTGTGCCGTCTGACTCACCGGATGATTATGCCGCCCTCAAAGACCTGAAGAACAAGAAAGTGAGCAGCCATTATTTCGTGAATGGAGAAGATACTATTAATTTAGTTCAGACAGGTTTTGCTTTAAAACTTCCTGATCGTATTTTGGCCAATGGTTTCACTATAAGATTTTTGTTAGATTGTCAGTTTTTCAAAGCAGTGTAAAGCACTGAAGTTAATTTTGCATTATGTGAGGATTTAATTAACTTCTTCGGACTCATAGAATGGCCATAAAATGAAGTTTTTACTGGTGAAATGAAAATTGAAGATGCAAAAATAACCAATCACACCCTTCCTTCAATGTGAAATAGAAAGTATAACTTGAAAAGTTCTTGTGGTACAATTGTTTTCTACATGGATAAACGCACGCTTAAATTAAACACAAAATATTCAAAAATGTACCACCTTGAATCCTTCCACCTTTGTGGTGACATGTTTTGGTATTCACAAACTGAAATTTATATTATCCATTACTTAATGGATAGTATAAATTTTGTAAGACATCATAGAACACTTTGAAAAATTTGCCAAGGTTTTATTCGTATTCAAGTTGACTGTGCAACCAGTAGCAAGTAAACTACACCATAAGGGCTGTTATCGTACCATGACAGGAATTCCGTGCCAAGTACGGCCTGAAGGACGAGATGGTCTTGCCCTTTGACCCTGTGCCCATCATCGACGTGCCTGGCATGGGCACCCTGGCGGCTGTCACGGCCTACGACGAGCTCAAGATCAGGAGCCAGAACGACCGAGAGAAGCTTGCTGAAGCCAAGGAGAAGGTCTACTTGAAGGGCTTCTACGAGGGGGTAGGGTTTCTCTTCTTCCCTCTTGGCATCTCTTGCGTGGATAGAATGGCATCTCGCAAAAATCACATTTCAACGGCGCATACTCAAAATCAAGCCTGCCATAGGTCATTTGAGAGCGTTGATACACATGCGTTAGGATCAGCCCAACTAGCGACTGGCATGACGTGCTTCAGGTGCTCTGTTCTTGAATGACATTTGAAAAATACTATCCTGGGTCTTTTACTTATTTATACCTGGTCATCCAACAGCGTATTTAGCACCAATTACAGGATGATAATGAGTGAAGAAGACAATGAAGACATGTTTAGTTTTAGAGGTGGGAGGAAAACCCCAGATAACTGTTTCATAGTAAACCCACGGCATCAGGTAGAGGCTGAAAACCCAATCCACATGTGGACTGATCCGGATTTGAACCAAAGCCATCAGAGGTGGAAGGCAAGGAGCGAAACGGTATGCCAACCTGACTCCCCAAAACCCACAGGGAACTAATCAGGTTAAGGTTAAAAAAAAGATTGCAAAAGGGGACATCAAAATTAGAGAAAAAAATAGGAACCGTCTTTAGTTTTTGTTTTACTGTTGCAAATTGACATTTAGTGCAGGTAATATCTTGTTTAGTATGCCTGATAATTGGTTTGTTTGTGCCTTCATTCTTTCACAGGTCATGATTGTGGGTGATGTCAAAGGTCAAAAGGTCCAGGATGTTAAGAAGACTGTCCAGAAGACGATGCTGGATGCCAGGGAGGCCGTAATCTACCTGGAGCCTGAGAAGCAGGTCACCTCACGCTCTGGGGACGAGTGCGTGGTGGCGCTTTGTGACCAGTGGTACCTGGACTACGGCGAGGCAAAGTGGAAAGCACAGACCTTAGCCGCCCTGGAGAAGATGGACCTGTAAGACAATGCCACTCTTACTGTGGACATCTGGGTCAAATGTTTGGTGCATGAATTCATGTATTACTCTGTGTTTATAGGCTGGGTTGTTCTGAGGTGGCACAGAGAGTAACAGGTCGGGTGGTTTGGAGCTAGACAGGGAGGGAATAATAGGTTATCCTCAGTAGGGTTGTTGGGTAGGGGTAAAGACGATTTCTTCCCGCTTCCAAGATATCGGCTATGCAATAAAACTGTACATTTGAAGACATTCAGTATGAATGTATATGTGAAGTTTCAGTTCAATTCAAGAGAAGGTTTTGTTACGGTCATTTACTAGCTTCCAGGCTTTCATACATGTTAGCCCATGCATTGAGCAAAAGTCAGCGGGTAAAGTTAACATTTTTGGCCAGTCTGTCTTTGAATATGGGCATTTAACAAGAAAAGGTATGTCTGGTATGCTTAGAATTGATGTCCAGTGAGAGTTAAACATCAGTGAAAAAAAATGAAGGTTTTGCTAAAAAAAAAAAATGCATGTCTGCACAAGTTGAGCACATATTAACTTTGGCAAGTTTCGCCTTAAATGTTCAGTATGATATTCAGATGCATATTTGCTTCCTTTGCTAAGAATGAACTATTTTATCAGAATACATTCAACGGTGCACTCTCTGGTGTCTGAGCAACATCAACAGTCGTGATGACATTGTTGAAATGTTCCACTTCTGTCTGTGATCTGAAACCTACAAGACGACCTTGCGACATTTTACTGAGGAGACACTGCTGTGTCTTGGGCCCTTTCTGTTGACAACATTCCAGAGTCTTCACCCACCGCTGTGCTGGAGCCCCGCTCTGCCGGAGCCCAGAGGGGAATATTAAGTCCTTCAACAAATTGGGGGAATTCAAATAAAAACAAATTTGCTCTACCAATGCTCCCAAAGCTCCTGGTTTTTTAAAGAATTTTTTGGGCTAGAGTTTTGTTGCAATGCCGCATTTTAAAGTAACTTTTTGAGACTTAATACATGTAGGAGGCATCAAAACGTAGACAATGATTGTGTGGCAAGCCAGTTGTGAGGAAGTTGTGCAAAAATGAATATGATAGTTATTATATCAACTCATGAACAGTTTGGAGTGGTATTCTGTGATGTTTGCTTGGGTGTTTTTCTAATGTTTGTGTGGTATTCCTGCATTATTCATGTAAGGTATTCAGAAGAAACAAAAAGGAACTTCCTTGCGACATTTGATTGGCTCCACGAGCATGCCTGCTCCAGAACGTATGGCTTGGGTAAGAATACTAAAAATACTCTTTCTCATAAGAGATGCAATTATAAGAGGTGAATATTAATGAAATAAAAAGGGGGAAATTCAATTGTGTGGTTAAAAAATTTCCTTCCTAAATCTTATTATAAAGTATTGTCTTTAAAAGCAAACCTGTGTTTGTATGGCCATTATTATTAATAATGGCCATACAAACACAGTAATTTTGGTCTTTTCTTTTGGAAAAGACCAAAATTACTTTTCCTTCAATTTTTTTTTTGGTAAAAGAATTCATGTTTCTCTGTTTTTATAATTGAATATGGTACACCTGAATATTTAATCACAATTAGAGTCAAATATTTGAATATGGAGTTATTTTGATTGACTCGGCCTTATCCTACAGGGTTCCACAAAGTAACCCCGGTTTTCTAGTTTGTATTTTTCAATTTGCTCTGTTAAGGTCAAGAACCTGAAATAGCAACTCATTTGTCATAATTGTCATAATTTTTCACTGATTACTGATCCACTTATGTTTATTTTGGCCAAATGGGAAAAAAAATCAGGTTTGCCAATTAGTAGTTTTTCTTTTTTTTCTGTTGAAATCACTAATCACTGAAATCAGAACCAGAAAAGAAAACGTGTATCTAAAGTCTATCTTGCCTGCAGCCATTTTTTCACCAATCCTTCTGAGGCAGAAAAGTGGTTGGCAGTGGTTCAGAAGTGGAATTTATTTTGTTTTTACCATCTGCAGACATTGCCTCCTTCAAAAGAAAAAAATCTGTTACACCAAAACATCTGTGTCCAAAATGACTGCCAAAGCTTTCTGCAGACAAGATGTTCACTTTGGATCACTTTGAAACTTTACAAAAATTTACAAGAGGTTATTGCCAAACATCAAAGCATTTACTTCAGCTTGACTTGAGAGTATTTTGGTCCTAATTAGAAGGAATCAGCTATTGGTCCCCAAAGAAAGGAGAATTTTGATGGATTGGGAGATGCTCTTGGCAAGAGCTTTTATGGATAGCTAGGTTCGATTAGGACAATGGTGGATTTTGTCTTGTATCTGTCGGGACCGTTTTAATCCTAGGAACCAGGATGCCATGGGATGAGCAGTATCTCATTGAGTCCCTGTCTGACTCCACTATCTACATGGCCTTCTACACTGTTGCACACCTGCTGCAAGGAGGCGTGTTTGATGGGTCCGGCACCAGTCCACTGGGGATCAAGTATGTATACTATTGAAATCCTTTAACACTGATGTTATTGCCCTACCAATGATTAATGGCAAACAGGCTGATGTCTGTCTGCAAATATGCCCTTTTTTTTCTTTTTGACCTAAAAATCCTTCCCTTGTCGTGCAAGAAGTGCATGATAATCTGCATGTAGAGTTGCCCGTGTTGCACGTACTCAGCAGCCAATTTGCACGGCCTCTGTGCATTGTGCGTATACCCACAAACAATACGAAGCACAGAGATGTTCGTCACCATTTCTTCACGAGTAAGATTATTCCTTAACTCTCAAGTCATTACTAGCAGTCCTAAATACGTTACTTGTATGTAAAATAAGTTTGGAGCGTTCAGTAAGATAAAACAGATAATTCAGGAACCAAGGGGAATGATCGGGATACCTGATTGTTTGTATAGCCGCCTTGTATTGTACTTAAATCTGGGTCAAATGCCAACTCTTTTCTCTCACAGGGCAGATCAGATGACCCCTGAAGTCTGGGACTACATTTTCTACTCCAAGGCCCCGTACCCTAAGTCCAGCAAGATCCCCAAGTCGGCCCTGGCCAAGCTCAAGCAGGAGTTCAAGTACTGGTACGGGGTCAACCTCCGCGTCTCCGGCAAGGATCTGGTGCCCAACCACCTGACCTACTTCCTGTACAACCACTGCGCCGTCTGGCCCCAGGAGCCCGAGCGCTGGCCGGCCGCCGTCCGCACCAATGGCCACCTCTTGCTGAACAACGAGAAGATGTCCAAGTCCACAGGGAACTTCCTGACGTTGTCCGAAGCCCTGGAGAAGTACTCTGCAGATGGTGAGTTCTGCTTTATAGAAATGTTTTGCAACTCACTTAGAACAACGAAAAGTCTACAAAGTTATATTACAGGTCACATGTGAAGGAGTGTAACCGCAGAACTTATCAGTAAGGCTGTCACAGCTTGTGGTTATGTTGAAGAGGAGAAAGGATCACTACCTAACGTTGGAAAAAGGAGAACTTTTTCAAAAGGGCATTTTATCCTTTCTTAGGTTTCGTATAAGGAAAACATGTGGCATCATGTCAGGGAATAAAAGGATACGTGGTCAGTCTGGCACTTGTCCATTGAATTCATGACCCTAAGGACTTTGACTCAGGAACTTTAGTATGTTCTTTGTCTGGTGACTTGGATTGGGGCTGGGAAACCATTGAACTGAGTAGCTTAATAGCTGAGCATGGCACTTCCAAACCAAAGTAATTTAACTGGCTGGCTTCGGATGTTTTGCACTCTCAATGTATTGATAGTGTATGGATGAAGTTCTTACAGTTTGGTGATTTCCTGCTCTCAGGCATGCGTCTGGCCCTTGCCGATGCCGGTGACCAGGCCGTGGAAGATGCCAACTTCATCGAGGCTCTAGCCGATGCCGGTATCCTGCGCCTCTACACCTTCCTAGACTGGACCAAGGAGATGCTGGCAGAGGAGAGCACCCTCCGCACAGGAGCCACAGACAGCTTTCACGACCGCGTGTTCATCAGCGAGATGAACGATGGGATACAGGAGACGGAGAAAGCTTACGAGAGAATGATGTTCAAAGAGGCCCTGAGGACAGGATTCTTTGAGTTTCAGGTTGGTGGCTTCAGTTTCTCAGCATGTAAGGTTGGGAACTTGAATTCTTCTGAGTTTCGGTTTTGAAACTTAAATTGTGGGACTGTCAGGAGGGCACAAGAATTCTTTGATTTCCGATTAGAAACTTGATATTTGTATGTTTCAGTTTGAAACTCGAGGAAATAGACTTCTTTCACATGGTATAGTAGGAGTAAAGCATTGGAAAAATAACAATTTTTTGCCTGAGTAGCAGGGTGTCAGAATTTGAGTATTTGGATCATCATCATCTTGGTTTTTACGCCCTTTCCCTAGAAGCAGGGGTTGGACAGGTCCTCCCTATAGTTGGCTTCACTTGCTGAGGGGGGCTTGCTGTATGTCTCCACCTCTCTCTGTCCAGCGCCATTTCAGGCCGTAACTTCAGGGCCCTTCAGGTCCTCCTGGATGTTGTCTTTCCATCGTTTCTTAGGGTGTCCAGGGGGGAATCGGCCAGTTACCTCATAGTCTAGGACCCTCCTGAGCCAGCATACAGCGTCCATCCGTTGTAGGTGGATGAGGGAAAGTTCCAAGTTTGTACAAGGGAAGTTATCTTCAGAGCGTTGGTTCATCTCCTAGCACTCAGGCTGTGCCTCAGTTGTGGCTACAGCTTCACTTTTCACCATTGGGCCACCATGGATGGTAACCGTAGCCAAAGACAGCCCTGCCTGTCGTAGACTTGGCCTCTCGTCCTGGGCATTCGAACATTCTCATTCGTTGCCCTACACTGATGCTTCATTGTTTTATCTTTGCTGTTTGCAGGCAGCAAGGGATCGGTACCGTGAGCGGGCTACCGACGGCATGCACCATGACCTGGTCATGCGATTCATTGAATGCCAGATTCTCCTCCTAGCGCCCATCTGTCCGCACCTCAGCGATTACATCTGGGGACTGCTTGGAAATGTAAGCATACTAGCCAAGAAAAAAAGTCCAATGTGGAGACTGACAATTGCAGGACAGCGAACAGCAAAAAACTGTCTCTGTACCTTTCTTAGACCGATGAAAATGGAAGAACTCGCTCGTTGTGTAATTGGTTACCGGTAGGGGGTGCTGTGATACGAAATTATTCATTGGTTGAAATAATCAATTTACCAACCAAAAACCTCATGCATATTTTGAAAGGTAATTAATGATACCAAATACCCTGGGAAACAATTCTATAGCTGTGGTGTTTGTAAGACAGCAATCAGGTGGTTAAAAAATGATTTCAGTAATAATCTGAGAAACTTGATCTCAGATTGCGAAACGTGTTCATGCCACACATCAGCTTTGTCATAGATGCCATAGATCTGTGCATACAGAACTAGACTGATCATATCTGGGGCCAGTTCCCACTTATGGAACCAGGGACCTGTTAACAACTTTTAAAAACAAAGAAACATTCAATAACCACTTGGACAGTGAAAAAGGAAAAGGTTAAAAAAAAAATTGTGATAAACTGATATTGCCATTGTTAACCGTAGCTGTCCACAATTCTCTAATTTCAGTATGATTTTACTTATACCCTAGGGGGTAAGGGATTAATAGACAGTATTTATGTGTCGGCCATCTTGAATTGAAAGTGAGGTAAAACTTTTCGTTTTGGGAACCTCAGAGTGACAGTAACAGCCACAAAATAAAAAAACCAATACAAAGTCATGCCACTTTTTGTTTGGAATAATTTAAAGTTTGTGATAAATTCTATCTAAATGTTTTAAGCCACATTTCAAGAAATCTGAAAGTAAGGTTTGGAACCCACAAGAGTCTGGCACCACCCCCATTTTACATTGAATATGATAGATTCAGGGAACCAAATAAAGTGTGGCTTCCCCGTGAATACTGTGTATTGCTATTCGTGTGCTCATATTCTGCATGAAGAGTGTAGACATGCGGACAGCTGTAATTTTGTAACCTGTTCGATGTCTGAAGGTTGTTAAGTGTTTTTTTCCCTTAGGAACGTTGTCTTTCTTTGAATATTTGGAATGGGTGACTAGTATCTAGTATCCATATTTTATTTCACAGGGTAGGGGCCTATTTGGTTCCTATACCACCTGTGTTTGCATAGCCCTCAGATGTCATGTGCCCTGCAATTGTAATGGAAAACCTGTGTTCTGCATAATAGTTGTTGTTTTTTCCTTATTAGTTTATCTGTTGGCTATTTGTTGAACAAAGAGTGTAAAGTGCTGAGCGTAACAAAGCAGTCATTGTGGGATTTTGTTGTTTTCAGCAAGAATCCATCATGAAGGCCAAGTGGCCAGCGGCCGGTAAAGTGGACACTAAGCTGCTGAGGTCGTCCGAGTACCTAATGGACTCGGCCCACGACTTCCGCCTGCGACTCAAGAACGCCTTGCTCCCCCCAAAAGGGAAGGTAAAGCTGGTTTGAAGATGTACACAGAAAACTGTGCTTGGTTTGTGCCTATGTTGTGCTCTGTCTGCTGAATAATGATGTAATGCTTTCAGCAGTAGTGATGATGGATGCGTGTACTTCATACATGTACATACCCACTGCCCTAGGGACCATTGAAATCCTGCATAACCTTGTTGGGTTCAGCATGGTTAGGGTAAATAGACACTTAGGGTGTTTCTATTGTACCTTACGGAGACATGTTACGGAGGCATTTCAATACCAAGGGGTGCTTAATCAACTATCCAACCAAAGACTTCAGGAGCAAGGAAAAGGCAGCACGTATGCCATCACCTGTTCATGTGAAGTGTGTGTAGCATAGCTAGGGTGATGTCAGTGAGTTTGTTTCTGCA